AAAAGTCACGGGAGAAAGAAGACTCTGGTTTATTCCCAAATCGTGGGAAGGATAAAAGTATTTTAAAATTTATGCCGTTATTTGTTGTTTTGTAAACGATATGTTATTTTCAAATAAGTTGTTGTATTGAATTTTTTTTTCTCAAAAACATTTTAATATAATATGGGTTTTATATAAGTATTTTATGATATATATATATATATATATATTAAACGCTTCCTACACGTACCGCTTCCTAATATTTTGAAAAAACTCGCTTCTACGCTTTCTAACGCTTCCGCTTTCGCGTACCCACTTCCGATTCTATACAGCTTAGGTTCTAACAAAGTTCAATAGAAGATTGTCCAAATAACCATTTTGTAATCCAGTAGATTCCACGCTCGACCATTTTGTTGCGACTATGGAAGAACAAAATGATATTTCGGGACAGATGACATCATCTAAGTCCAAAATTGAATAACAAATTCAAATGAAGAACGCTTGACTCTTGTTGTGAAGTATGCGAGGGCGGTACTTGATATTTTTGGTTTTACTTTAATGATTGCTGGGTCGTATACAACTTGTTATTTGTTTATCAATTTATTGCACTATGAGAATGTGTTTTCATAATTCAAACTTACGTACCAAGAAATCTAATTTATTTCAGGAAGCAAGTGACGTGGAATTGAACACAATCAAAGAAGTTATGTATGTAGATGATTAAGTTCTTGAAGCAATAATATTTATTGACCGTCTTCGTTTTACCGACATTAAACCGTTGTTAATAGTGGACATTCTTTTTCACCATATTCACCAAATGTGATCCACACTCTTGATCTTCAAAAGTGAAATTTGATCTTCATTTTCGTCACTTCTCTTGACCAGAAAATTAAGTCATTATTTTGGGCTCTTTGTGGACTTATAATAGGCTCAAAATGGGTTGGGCTTGATAGTTAATATCATAAATGGATTTGTTGAGTGCTCACCATCTCTAAAACTTCACAAATCAGGCCATTAGTGCCATGTTTGAATGCTGAAGACGCCACTTTTCTTTTGATCCAGTTAGGTTGTGCCATGCTTCTTCTTCATTGTCTTTGCTGCTGTCCAAAATCACATCCTTTAGAGAAGAGAGTGGTGATGGAACGAAACACACCTTTACATGCAAGTGACAACGAATGCCTTTTCATACCTTTTCATGAATCACATCATTTAGAGAAGAGAAAGACTTTGAAGTCCTAGAGATCTAAGTACAAATGGATATATGTAACTGAAATTGGTTCAGACATGCGAGCAGAGATCAACAATTGGTGGTTTAATTTTTAAGATGATCGGTTGAAGTGTGAAACACGTCGAGTATTGCATAATAACAGGTTCAAGGTTTATACAGTAGAAGGTTCATAAAAGGATATTCATGGTCTAAATGGGTCCTTGTGTTGAACGTAGCATCGTTGGAAGAATAGGAGGATTGTACAAATGGACGTTTGATAGAACATAGTGCTATGCAAGAAGATCTACATAACGTCTAACTGGAATGGTCCCCTTTTGAGTGCCAAGGAAACATGATATTTTATTTCCAGATAACTTTTTATTAACCAGAGGCGGTTATGCAATATGGCATTGATAATAGTCAAAAATAAAGGTTGTCTATGTTAGGACTAAACTAGGTGACCATATACAGTTTTGCATACAAAAACTACTTTTTCACATCTAGATTGTCTAAAACACGAGAAAATGACAAACTGTTTACCAAAAGAGTACCAACCAATAAAGCAAAACTCTTGAAATAGACAAACTATTTGTACTATATAAATCACCAAGAAAGACTAAATAATTTCATCAACCCAATCTTGTTACAGTTTAACAACAATAAACAAGAACAAAAATCTTAAACTCGTTAACAAATTTTCAAATTATGGGGAAGCAAGTTTTGACTAAAAGAAACAGTACTCTCATGATTTTCATATTTTTCTTGGTATTGTTAACGGCACATGTATCTCTTGCAAACACGGCAGATAGTTGCGCCAAGCGTTGTCTGAACCAATGCTTGAAAGAGAGCAAAGATGCACCTCATGATGTATGCAGAAAGGCTTGCAAGAAAATGTGCATCGAACTTCAGTATGGTCAGGAAAAATATATTGTCACTAAAAGACAACCAAAATCTATCGCGTGTAGATGGATGAACTACGGATGCCCTTAAGTTCCTTGTTGAACAAATTGTATAACATAAATTGTTTTTTGCTCATATATAATTACATATATTTTTTTTCAGATATTTAGAACAAAATCATTGTCTATGTTTCTATGTAATTTGTATGTTTTATTTTTTTCTTTGATTCCAAACTAAAATACATGTATTTTGAATTTCATTAACTGTTTTCTCCCTCTCTTTCTCCCTATCACTCAATTTCTTTCACTACACTCCGAGATATTTAATCTTGTATTACGACCATTCTCTGGTCATACCACTCTTTAGTCACCCTTAGGCTGTTGTTTGGCTGGAGCTCTTTATTACTCCTAAAACTCTTCTTTCTTTCTCCTTACTTTCAGAAGCTCACCAATCAAAGCCCATCGCGGATCCGTTTCTTCCTTGGGACTTGATAGGCCCCATTTCATTCCGATTATCCTTCCGTTCTCCGGTTTTCATTTTTTTAATTTTTTTCTGAGTTGGGCGTTGGAGAGCCATCAGAAAACACCACATCTTTGTATTTTTCAAGATTTTGACGTTGCTACTCGTTTTTTAGGAAACTCACCCCGAAAAGACTAAAAACTCCTAAATTCTTACCTTTACGATATATGTTAATGTGTTTTATTTTATGACCAAAATCATCATAAGCTTAAGTGAAGAATCATCTCTGGAGTAACCAGAGCTTTTTTTTAATTTTGATGACATGATTCTATCTACAACAAATATATGTTAGTGTGTTTTCATCAATTAATTTAGTTCTAGCAAGCATAAAAAAGGTTAAGGTCATGTGAGAATTGATTTCAGCATGATTCGACAACTGGATGGATGCTACACGTTTATGTGTTACAATACATGCAAAAAAAAAAGTAAATCGATGCAAAATATTAACATAAGCAATCTCTTTTAAGTAAATCCTTGTCCTACTCCTAGAAAAAAAACTACAAACAAACATCACTAGTTCACTACCACAAGCTTATGCATAATCAAAACCAGAGGAAGATAACTTTATCTTAATCATGAAAGCTCTAGAACATTTTATCCGTAGTTTAAGTATCCAGACAGCCAGATATCCAAATTTCTGGAACGTATTTGATTGTTTAACGGATCGGCTCTCGAATCGGAACTTCCAAAATGTATGTTACATGTAATGCATTTCTTAGTAGGTACGTATTTAATTTTTTTTTTATCAATAATGTACCAAAACTTATTTTCCAGATAACTTTTGGTTTAACAAGACGCGGTTATGCAAAATGGCATTTTTAATTGTCAGAAAGAAAGGTTGTCCATGTTAGGACTAAACTAGGTCACCATATACAGTTTTGGATATCAAACCATTTTTTCCATATGTAAATTGACTAAAAACGAGAAAATAACAAATTGTTAACTAAGAATGTACCAGCCGATAATCTAATCTTGAAACAATAAAGCAAATCTCTTGAAATAGACAAACTATTTGTACTATATAAATCACCAAGACGGACTAAATATTTTCATCAACCAAATCTTCTTACAGTTTAAAAACAACAAACAAGAACAAAAATCTTCAACTCGTTAACAAAATTATGACGAGACAAGTTTTGACTAAAAGAAACAATACTCTCATGATTTTAATATTTTTCTTGGCATTGGTAACGGCACATGTATCTCTTGCAAACGCGGCAGATAGTTGTGCCAAGCGCTGTCTGAACCAATGCTTGAAAGAGAGCAAAGATGCACCTCAAGATGTATGCAAAAAGGCTTGCAAGAAAATGTGCATTGAACTTCAGTTTGGTCAGGAAAAATATATTGTTACTAAAAGACAACCAAAATCTATCGCATGTAGATGGATGAACTACGGATGCCCTTAAGTTCCTTGTTGAAAAAATTGTATAACATCAATTGTTTTTTGTTCATTTATAATTACATATATTTTTCAAATATTTTGAGCAAAATCATTGTCTATGTTTTTATGTTTTTTTTTTGCTATGATTCCAAACTAAAATACATGTATTTGAAATTTCACTAACTGTTTTCTTCTCTCTTTCTCCCTATCACTCAAATTCTTTCACTACACTCCGAGATATATAGTCTTGTATTCCGACCATTCTCTGGTCATACTCCGACCACTCTTTAGTCACTCTTTAGGCTGTTCTTTAGCCGGAGCTCTTTCTCACTCCTAAAACTCTTCTTTCCTTCTTCTTACTTTTAAAAGCTCACCAATCAAAGCCCATCGCGGATCCGTTTCTTACTTCAGACTCGATAGGCCCATTTCTTTCCGGATCTCTTTCCTTTTTCCTGACTTGGGCGTCGGAGAGCCATAAAAAAACACCCCATCTTCGAATTTTTCGAGATTTTGACGCCGTTGGTCGTTTTATAGGAGACTTGCTCCCGAAAAGACGAAAAAAATCCTAAATATTCTCCTTTATTGATCTTATTACTAATACATTTTGTCCGTGATGGTTTAACGATACTATGTTAATGTGTTTTATTTTACGATCAAAATCATCATAAGCTAAAAAATACATACAAAATAGTAAATCGACGCAAATATTTAACATACATGTTAGCAATCTTTTTTTACCTACTCCTAGAAACCAACAAAACCAAACAAACATCACTGCCACAAGCTTCTAAAAGCATAATAAAAAAACCAGAAGAAGATAATAAAAATAAATTTTAGTAAAGATGGGAATAAAAAAACACAAATAATTTTGATGGTTAAAACTGAAGTTTAAAACTATATATTTATGAAGGTTAATAAAACGACAATAAAAAGAGCATGTCAGTTATGAAAAGCTTCAGAACATTTTAATTTCTTCCAATGCTTGAAAACTCCCGAGTCCCGAACATTGATCACTTAGCTACCCTCGGGATTGTTCAATCTCCGGAACGTAATTGGCGCACCGTGCTGAGGATAGAGCAACATGAGGACAGTAGGTGCGTGCTGGTAAGTAGGAGCTAAGTGAAAGGTGAAACGTTGGAGCAATGTTGCAAGTGTCAGTTTGGCTTGAAGTATGGCAAGATTCTGACCAATACACGTTCTTGCTCCGAGACCAAACGGTATAAACCCAACAGGATGTTTAGCAGCACGAGGCACTCCGTTAGCAAATCGATCTGGATTGAATTCGTTCACGTCGTTGCCCCATATCGCTTGATCGTGATGGACCGCTATGATTGGGATTAGGAGCTCCGTGCCACAGGGGATTTTGTACCCTCCTAGCTCCACATCCGATTTTGCACGTCTGATTGTAGCTACTATCGGTGGATACAATCTTAGAGACTCGTTTAGTATCATGCTCAACTGTAAATTTGGAAAAGAGTAAAATAAACATCAACATTGCATCGTATTAATATGGACATGTACAAATTTTAGTTGTTGAACAAAAAAAGGTACATAGTTTTGGTTATTTGTGTTAATACTCTGATTATCTTGGAAAAACAAGATTACAACTACCTTCTGTTATTTTCAAATTTTGAATACTAATTTAGTAAGGGAAGTATTAAATATATTCTTTTTCTTGATATATGTAGAATTAAATCTTATAAAATTTAGAGAATAGGCGACAAAAAGTCCATAATTAACGGTAAAGGAAATTGTGATTACCAATTCGCGCATTATCTGTGATTTGTTGTTTTTTACTTTGTTGGTAAAAGCGGAATTTAATTTCGAGAGATATATTTCAGAATACAGAGCAAAAGGCAGAAGAGAAAACGCACCGTTTTGAGCTTAACGACATGGTCCTTAGTGGGGACATCACGTGAGCCGCAGACCCTGAGGACCTCATCACGTGCTTTGGCCTGCCACTCCGGGTGCATGGATAGCAAGATGGTCGTCCACGTCAGCAGATTGGAAGTTGTCTGTTTTCCGGCGAAAAAGAAGCTTTTGCACTCCTCCACTATGTCCTGCACCGTCACGTTTTTCGCCTGAATCATCAATCCCAACAAATCCTTCGCCGCCGTCGCCGCTGGCTCCTTACATTCTTCTCCGTCTCCGCTATTTTTCCGGCGCTCTATTAGCCTCAACAACGACTTCCTTATCTCCTTGTCTAACTTCCAAGACTTCAGATTCCCTTTTGTCGGAAAAAATCTAAAAAAATCCAAAAAAAATGATAAATTAGTCTCCTTGGACGGAGACAAAAAAACAAGTGAGATAAAAAATCGGTTTGGAATTTTTACCTGTAACCGGGAATGAAGACTTTTTGAAAAGCTTCGGCGCAGAGAAGCATTTGTTGAGCTTGAAGTCGGAAAACTGCTCGACCATCTTCGTAGCTACTTCCAAAAGCTGTTCTACTGATAACATCTTCAGTAAGAATCTGAAACCACTCGTAGACATCGACTTCAACCTCGCCGGTTTCTGATAACTTGTCTGACCACTTCTCAACCATCTCTGTCACACTCTTCAACACCACCGGTACAAGCAACTGCCAAAGGAAATTAAAACACTTAATAAATGATTAAGCAAAAGCAATTATTAAACAAGAATTTAATGAGAAATGGTTTAATTAGATTACTTTGAGATTCTCCATGTGGAAAGTGGGGCTAATGATTTTGCGATGATGAGCCCATTTCTCGCCTTTAAGGCTAAGAAGTCCATCGCCTTCAAGCTGTTTAACCAAAGGGTGTGCTTCGTTCTTCTCATAGAACTCAGACTTGGAGAATATTTCTCGGATCAGATCCGGATCCGCTACGGTTAACCGGAAAGTTGGACCGAACCATACTAAAAATGTAGCACCTGAATAAAAATATATAATCTTTTTAATTAATTAATTAGAAAAAATTCACAAAAGGGGATGTAAACATGAAACAGATCCTGAAGTAGGAACTTTGACAAAAAGAGAGTATATGGTATTAATGACCAAGTGCTCTTACATATTTTACCAAATTGCTGCAATTTAAATTTACTGCACAGAAAACCAAAATATTCAAAAAATAAAAACACTAAAGATAGAGGACAAGAGTTAACAGAGGGGGAAAATGATGACTAAGCCCGTGAGGAAAGAGTGGAAGAACAGAGCCTCCTTTTTCACATCAAAGTTCTGACATCATAATTTGATCATGACAAAACAAAACTCATAAAAATAAATATAAATATAAAGTTTTTCCTTTTTCTTGGAGAATAAAACAAAACTCTTTTGTATTGCTTGACTTGAAAACACACTGGGTTGCCTTTCATCAGAGAATCGGACAAAATCACAAAACCAAAAAAAACCAAAATTTATTTCAAGTTGATGATAAAAGAAAAGAAAATTAAGAGACAAAGGACTCTTGTGTTCTTTACATGAAACAAAAAGGCTTATTGTCAATTAACTAAATTTTGAACTAAAATCTGACTGAAATAGAAACAGAGTATGCAGAATTTGTGTGAATCTGGAGAAAAGAAGAAGAAGAACAACAAACCGTAGATTTTCCTCCAGTGGTGGTAGAAAGAGAGGACTCTAGGGAGAATATTGTGAGAGAAAGGCATAGGATGAGAAGAAGCTTGAAGCATCATTCCAACAAGTTCTTTGACATTACCGATGAAGAAATGGTAAGGAGGACCTCGAATTCCTTGTTTTGAGAAATGTTCTTCGATCTTTCTTGGTCTCCACCAAAGCAGAGACATGCCTTTCACCATTACAAGAGTGAACATCACAGACAACACAAGAACCTTTGGAATCAACCAGCTGTTTTCTTCCTCCATTGTTGGAAACAGAGAAAAAAAGAAAAGAAGGAGAGAAGAACACAAAAAGAAGAGCTAAAGTAGGCTGCTTTGGTCTCGTTTTTAGTTATACAGAGTGCCGGAGAAAGAGGGAATGAGGTGTTAAAAAGGCGATTTTTTTCCTTTCCTTTAAATCTTTAATTTTTTTGGATTTCTTTTTCTTTTTGTTTCTTTGCGAGTTTGGCTTCTTCTTATCTTGTTTCTTTTTGGACTATTTTGCTTGCTGGGCTATTTGAGCTTTTTAGAGAGAGAGAGATATGGAAGAAAGAGAGAGAGAGAGGCAAGGCCAACGGCGTAGGGGCCGCCATTGGAAGACAGTGAAGGGTCAACGAATTGAGGTTTTTTTTTTTATATTTGAAATAATAATGCAAATTTGTTTCTTCTTTCATATGATTGTGATACAAGCCTTTTTTTTATTTCATTTTTGATAAACTTGTCTCTAGCGTATTTTATTTATTTAATTTTCATTTCTTTTCGAATTCCACATCATTTTGAGGTAATATCGAAATGATTAAAATATGCAGATGGCATTTTTATAGTTTTTTGTCCTTTACTCCATTGTTGGTGCAACTGCTGATATTAAATGTCTGCGACCAGGATGTCTATCTATAGTTTAAAATTTACAGCGTAACGTATATGATAGTCTTTTTTTTTTTGATAAAGCGTATATGATAGTCTTGTTACAAATAAAACCAAAATTGAACTCAACGCTTTTATTTATGTATAATTGAACTGCAACGCTTATATTTATATATAATTAAGTCGTCTCTCACAAAATCACAATTAAACGTAACAATGTAACGCACGTTTAGAAATAATTATATAATTTTACACCATTTTGTTTTAACGCTGTAATAAAATCTTATTATATATAATGAATCCCATACAATTATAAAGTGACATCGTAATATAAAAAAAAAATATAATTTACCAAGTTGCAACACATACATTAAACAATTGGTAAAATCGTGACATGTATATAATTTTTAGTCAATTATTAAATGAAAACGTATCATTTTGTTGGTTGCGACCAAGAACTAGGAAAAAGTTTTAACGAACACTAATATAGAAAAAAAGAAATTATAATTTCATTTTGAATTTTTTTTCAAAACGGTAATTTACTTTCACTAGATTTGTTCCTATTGTTTAAATGAGTTCCTAATTTTTAAAAATAGATATAGAAAATGTAGGTTCGAAAAGAATCTAAGCATAATATAACAACAGAATTATAATAGTGAAAAAAATATGACATTTAATTTTACTAAAAATGAAGGTTCGAGTATTTTACAGAAAATATAACAAAAAGTGTCAGAAAATGTAAGCTTCGGTAACCAAAATATTAAAAACAAGACTACCTGTTACGTTTATTATATTCTTCAGTATTTTAATAGTACATTTAAAATGAAATTATATTGAAGACACAACAAAAATCTAAAAATTTATTTGTACAACGTGTGAGGGATGGGGGCAGTCACCACATATGGAAACCAAGTTGATGAAAAAATTGAAATCGGTCAAGAAATCGAAAAAATAATATAAGAAAAAAAAAATTCCATGACGTTTGTTCATTGCATTTTTTATTCCTTTTTAGCTTACGATTGAAAATACTCGAGTTAATTATAAACCTGTTGGGGGTTAAATAAACATTTTTTTAGCTTAGACAAACTTTTTAGCGTCGCATAGCTAGATTATAAGAATCTATTTGCATAGTCGCATAATTTTAATTATATGGCTGGGTGGATCAGACTCTACAATGATCGTTTTAGCCAGGATATATGAATACATCATACATGGGTCTAACTCCAAAATTGATCTAAGTAATAAACTACTAGACCATGAACATCAGTAAATACTTAGTAGTCAGGTAACATAGATCATTCAACATTTTCTAGTCCGTAGCCCATTTTTGTGTCAAAATTTTGTTGACTTTAGAAAGAATTAAGAAATATGAAACCAAGTGGTCGTATCCCAGTGGTACTTGAGGGAGGTAATTCCCAATACGGATCCGGGTTCGAAACCAGTTGACCACAACGGATTTAACATCCCTTCCGTTGGGGCCCTAGACCTCTTTCGAGGGGATAGTCGAGTTTCTGTTCGGGTTAGATCCTCGGAATAACTAGATACAGCTGGACAAAGCCCAGACCACCGGTTTGGGCCCCAGGACTGGTCGGTGACTGTTCGGTCGACTCCTCGGACCCGGATACCAGAGATACCAAAAAAAAAAAAAAAAAAAAAAAAAAAAACTAAGAAATATGATTAGGATCATGTCGTATTAGACCATTTCTAATATATTTTTTTTCTTCATTTTTTCTTTCAAATAGAGTAATTTCAAAATATAATTGAATTTCTTTCCAATATATATATTGGAATGGAACAGCGAAATGAAACAACGAAGAGTGGACTAATCCACAATTGAAGCTGTGAAGAACTGTTGCACCGTTCGCTTCCAAGTCTCTGTTACTACTTACTAGGCAGCCTAGGCCGTTGTTGTAAGATCTACTTCTTCCGAAGGGCTCAACTGAATTATAGCTTTTATCTTCCCAAATCCGTAGATAAAATCCCACAAAAAGACATCAGTCAGAAAAAACCAAATAAAACAAAAGAAAACAGCAAAGGAAACCAAGAGCTATAGAAGCCTCCGATCATCTGCCAGGATCCACCTCTTTTTCTGTTTCTCTCGCTTGACGTAATTTAGGTTATCTTACCAAACGAACCATGATGAATTGAAAACTAATGACTATTTTATACCAAGAATTTTTGTAAAATAAAATTCCAAAACGAGATGATAAAATATGAAAATTGTAAGAAGTGAATGACGTAGAACATAACAAATAGCATAACTTTTTTTTTATAAATGTGGCTCTAAAACTGAATCATCATATACAGTATTGCGTGTTTCAGTGAATTATAACGGTATTGAATTACTTACTCAGAAAAATACCATAAAAGAACTTGAATTACTTACTCAGAAAAATACCATAAAAGAACTGAGGTTTGCAATGGAAGGAGAGATTGGCTACTATGGACGGTTTTGTGAACCACGATTTTAAGGCATAACTGCAGGACAGATGAGATTGACAAAAATTAGCCAAGTTATTATCTACGTTGCACGGAAACGCTGATCAATGTGCGTTTCGCGTTTCGAAACGTTTCGGAAACGGAAACGTTACGGAAACGCGACGGAAACGCATGGAAACGCGTTTCGTGAAATATTCTGTTTGGAAACATGGTGGAAACGTCCGATTCCAAAACGGAAAAACGCGACGGAAACCTGTTTTCTGTTCGAAAACGCAGTCTCTGCTACCGCCTTAGCTGTGTGTAAAGCCCCATCAACAAAAATGTCGGAGAATTTTGAGAATTTGAGTTGTATTCGATATTTTAGTATGTGATAGATTCATATCTGTTAGATTCATAAGTTTAATGAAGAAAATCGACTGAAAAATGCCAAAAAAATAGATGTTTGATGTGATAATGGTTGGAGGTGGCCGCCAAAATTAGGGTTGCAGAGAAGCAGATGATGTCGGGGAGAAGAGATTATCGAAATGACAATTATACCCTCCATTTATAATAATTGAAACACGAACCAAAATGTACTACCCAAGACTAGAACTCATAACAAGCTGCAACATTACAACTGCCCTATCCACTGAACCAAGGAAATTTATTTAACATTTTCCTCTAACTATAATATATATACCTATATGGACGTTATAATAACCACAAAATAAATCTCCTATTATCCTTGCATCATAACTGATTAGGACTTTGTTAAATATTTTATTGGTTTTATCTCAATTTATAATATTTTATTTATTTAATTTTATATATATATATATGCAAACGTTTCCAAAACGTTTCCATTCTTATATTTTTTAAAAATGACGTTTCCCGTTTCCGAAATGTTTCGCTTCCACGTTTCCGTTTCCGTTTTCATGTAGCTTAGGTTATTATTAATCGACGATAAAGAGACATTGAAAGAATAAAATATAAAATATGAAGTCGTACTTAAAAAATTTCAACTACCCATGTGAGTTTTGGTCTCCATAATAGAATGTTTCTAACTTAATTTAATTAGATATCTGATCCTGCCAATACAAACTACTATATGTGTCATTATAGTTTCTTATATTATTATTAACGTAAGGTGGTCTATACATGTACGTATATCTATATAGTTACTTAGACTTATTCTTTCAGTATATATGTACATAATTAGGAGGTGATTCAAACTTTTAAACTTCGGCTAATCTCTTCAAGTGAGTGTAGTCGTCGAGTAGTAAACTTATCGAGTTTTCTAATGGATCTAAAGATATCAAATGAGAATAGTTAGATAATTTGATGTTGGAGGAAAATTGATCATTGATCTAGATCTACAGAGTATGTCTTTCTCAGTTGGAAACTACCAAGCCACCACTATTTGGTCCATTAGATATATGTTTGAGAAAAAACAAGATATATATAACGTATATGTTTTAGTGTAAAGATAACGAACACTAAAATGCACATCATTGGCCACGTATGATTAACAATCAAATGCACATTTCTCTAAAATTTATTTTCTTTCTTTTTTTGTCATGAAAATGGGGACATACATTACACCCCCTCGTTGTAATGTTTTCTTTAGGAAACTAAATAAATAATATGAACAGAAGAAAATTAATGTTGGGGACAATCTGTCCCTTTAAACTATATATAAAATAGACAGTGCTGATAAGTATATATGTAATATTGCCAACTCATCTAAGTATGTTTCAATTTGAAAAAGGTCCAAAAGTCGAATGGTACTACTCAACATATATTTGAGGGAGAAGAACAAAAGTGGGCCTTGGAAATGAAAGAAGACATCTTGTATTGTCCCGATTTTGGGAATATGGTAAAACATTGAATTAGTTATTTATATTATTATAGTGTACTTATGGACTTTATAACTTCATTTTGAACTCTAGAACTATTCGTGCTTGTGTTTGATTTAGGGATGAACGAGCTAAAAGAAGTTCGTGTAGTGACTAAATTGAATAGTAAAAATTCTTTAAATATTTTCTAAGTAGGTTTAAAACTTTCTGAAGTAGGACCGGCCAACGGAAGAGGGAGCCACGAGTTGCAGAAGTGGTATAATTGTATAAGTGGTATCATAATCGAACCCATACGATTGTGGAATCATCTGGGTATGAAAGAGACAGAAATGTTCTACAAATGTAATTGAAGGTATAATTGTACAATGTTAATCATTTAGTCTTCCTTGTATCTTGACCCAAGATTTAAGTCACACATCTAATAATACTCAAGATTTCAATCCTATATTTCTCGATGTTCATGGACCGACAGCCTATAAATCAACTTAGGGTAGTACATATAGGCCTAGTGAGAGTTGCTTGTTTCTATGGATCGATCGATATCCGGATATTATCATCAGATATTATGTTGTTTAATGGTCCTAAATACTAAACTGGACCATTATGCACATGCACGAAGCATTAGTGTTTGATATTTAGTAAAGATTTTTGAAAAGCCAGAGCAATATTTCATTGTATTCGGTAAGTCTATCAGTCTATGCAGTTAACAAGAGAAGGATTGGCAACTCAGACATTCTTAAACTAAACAGATGAGATACGCTGTCTTGTACTAGACACCCATAATATAATCCTGAGATATAGAATTTTCATAATACTAATCTATCTAAACTTTTCCCGACAAGTTATAGATGAGAGTGGACGATCTGGTCCTATAACAAAACATTGAAGACTAAAAGGAAACAAAAAGAAAGTAAATTAGTTATTGCACAATCAGACAAATGGAAAGCCCGAGACGTTGTGTCAATGTTTTTTGTTTTAATATTCTCCCAAGAGATTGGATTTGGGAGAGAGAGAGAGAGAGGTGAGTTGGGGCAGCGAACTTTAAATAAGAAGCACATGGGAACAAAAGGTGTCTGGTTTTAGGGATTGAAGATGGGTTTTTGTGGGGACTCTGCTCATTTTTACCCTTACATATCGATCTCGTCTTTCCTTAATCATGTCCTAATGCTCCCACGACATGCCGGCCCATGTCATTCCCTCCGTTTCCCCCACTCTCTTCACATTATTTACTCAAACCAATCTATTTCCAAACTCCTCATTTCAATGTCTCGTACCTCTTCATTTTGCGATTCCCCCAAGACAAAATTGGTCCCTAATATGTGTGTAAGTAATGTATATGTACGAAAATAAGTGTATTACCTATGATATTAGGACAATAATAATAATTTATAAACAAAATTTTTATATGAAACTGTATATTTCTAATTTTTAGTTCATGAATGATACAGTATGTGACTAAAAATTGAATTTGATAGATAAGTCAGATATTATTTTTTAATAATTTATCGGTAAATTAATAATAGTTATTTTATAGATAAATTAACAACTCTAGGAAATAATAAAATTTTCAATCGCCAGCATTATTAATTTATACATGTTGTACTGTATATAAGTGGGCCTAATAATCATTTAGAAAACCAATCCCAATCCGTTACATTATCACCATCGTGGATTCTTCTTCCACACACAGCAACTTCATTTATACATGTTAATACGATGTCCTCAAAATCCTTCCTCTATCCTCATCCAGTCACCTTCTTCCTTATCAGATAATCTTGATTAAATATAAAAATGAAGTTTCAATCATCACGGCCGCGGCAAGGAACCCAGCGATCAAGGATCAAGAGGTGATGCCCTCGTTGCATGCCTCGATTGAACAGAAGGGCTTCACTAATAAAATCAACCATTTCGAAAGCTCAGTCGTATAAAGGTTAGATCGTCAACATTTGTCTTCGTCCCCAATTCATGAGGAATCGTATTTGTGTTGTTTCACAAACCTACGCGATGCCAAAATGTTCTAAACTAATGGTTTTCATAGTTGTTTTTATGCATATAGGCCGGCTTGGTTGCAAGTTGCAACTGCCACCGTTTTCATTTGGTCTACTATGATCAGGGAATGTACAAATGATCTTCGTTACTGAAAAGTTATCAAGGTTTCCGATGGATATCTAATTTCTTCAAGTTTATCTTCAAATTTATGAGCAACTCTGTTTCTCGTTTATAATCTGTACATTTTTTAACCTTAAACTTTTATTTTTGACTTTCTTACTGATTCGGCAGCAGAAGCTCTCATTATACGTCTTCAGCTACTGGCACATGGATGTCTGCGCAAATAAACAAGCCTTTCACACATGACACCTTGTGTCTCTGTGTTACCATTATCTGATTTTGTTATTCAAATATTCAGACCACGAAAGTGTGTATCTATACCAAGTGTGGAGACCGAGTTTGGGGCCTTTTCCAGATGAAGATATGTGATATACCAAATCGCAGCTGGTACCTAATGTTGGGGCCAAATATGTGATATCTCTCGGTTAGACGTTAACTCTATGGTTCTGTTCAATTTCAAAAATGTAAAAAGAGAGTTCACACTCTCACTCTCACTCTCACTCACACTCACACTGTTACTCTCACTCTCACTCTCACTCTCACTCTCACTCTCACTCTCACTCTCACCTAGCTTCAATGTCGATAAACCTTGAGAGAATAATAATGTACGCAAGAATTTTAGATATGAAAGTCTCTTAGCTTTATTATTCAAAAACAGAGTATTAAAGTAGCCTAATAATTTATATAAAGTTGTTTAAAATCGGTGACAAACGACTTTTTAAAATAAATAGGAAATAGCTAATCATAAAGAAAATAAGCCAAAAAGAAAGAAAAGGAAATACGTTTGAAAATAGAGTAATGAGAAAAAAGAAGTAGTCGACTTCTTAAAGTACATGATGAAAAAACCGAACTTTTTGGGTTTAAATTAATTTTACTCTCAGTTCAAAAAAAGAAGAAAAGGAGAATGCTCATCTTATCAACAACTTGAAGTTGGAAGAGACGTTTTTGGACAGTCTCTTATTACATAGGATGAGAGAAAGCACAACCGTGAAAGCTTAGCTATGGATGCATGCATGCATGTACAAATTTTTTTGTTCTCACAATTTAATTATTTTAACATATACTTAATTTCTTTTATATTTTCTTCACCCGCCGTATGCTAGTTTTGAGTTCCTAATTAATTTTCCAAACATGCGAATTGATTAAAGTCGTCAAATTCAGATGTATAATGATGATACGAGACTTTCTTTTTAGCTAAAATTAACCTCAACCTCGCTTTTTCTTCTCTTAAAAGAAGTGTTAAATATATAATTATATACTCAGTTTCCCATCATTAGTTTTGAGGAAGAATCATAATTGTCTCCACATAAAAAATCTCTGGTCGTGATTCTACTCAGTTGAAATCATTATTGTATCCCGTAGTTACATTATTCATAACAATGCCATTCCATATTTTAAATGTAAGATATGTAGTATGACTCATTTATGTATAATGCATATACTGTATAACTTTAGTCAGTATTGCAACATACCTTTTCTAGATGCATGTGTAGAAACGGTAGATATCTTTTGTTCAGTCACTAGTCGTTCTGTCGTTAAGATATAGTACGTATATCATTAATTCTATAAAGTGAAAAACAAAACGCTTCCACATACTGTATGTTCTAAAATACGATAATATATGTACGGTCTTATGTACAATTTATATATCCTATATGTTAAAAAAGGATGTGTAAACACCATATTTTTCTTGTAATTGTTATTTTTGATTTATTTAATTATTCTATACTCATTGCCAGACATAATTCTTTTCAATAAGCAATTAATACTCGGATAACAAGGAAAAGTATAAGTTATCTATCTTTCGCCTAATCATATATACGTACATTTTTACTCCCATGATAATCGATGGAATCCAAAATCATATGAAAACACACCTCGACAGCTAGGAGTGCTTAATAATACGTATCATTGAAAGAAAAAACTCTTTAATTATATCCTAAAGTTAGAATTTAGAAATAATCAAAATGATTAGACACATGGTAAGGCTCGTCCCTTTCCTTCCTACTCATCATAAACCTCGGTGGCAAATAAAAATTAACACTCTGTTTATGACCCTTAGTCTTGTGACTAGTCTCTTCTTTAGGGACCCAAGGTGGCTTTATTGACCTGATTAGTGCCCAATTAACACCTTCGAAGAACTCATGTCTTTTGATCTCAGTAGAGCCTTTGAGGCTACCTAACCTCTTCTTAGGGTTCTTCACCAGTAATTTAATAATAAGATCTTGAGCGCTCACCATATCATCGTACTCTTTCTGGCTACTAACTACGACCTTTGGGAATGTCAAGGGTGTTTTCAGAATGTTTACTAGCGTTTTCTCGTTGTTCTCACCTTTAAACGGTGTCGTCCCAAATATCATCTCGTACAGAAATATTCCGAAAGTCCACCAATCAACTGCACTCCCATGCCCTTGCCCTGACACATTAACAAAAATAACAAGTTAGCAAAATTGAACATGTGTTTGGCCGTTTGGCTGAGCTCAGATCAATTGTTGCTGGAACAGTATTTTCACGTATATAAGTATGTTTCTATAGCTGAATTCTTGGGGGAAATGGCAATGCACGATACCATCGCCTCAAGCCCATCACCATTTGAGACCAGTTTTGTTGGTGACAAAGTGGTGAGAGATTGACGACTACCTAAATGTATTACCATTAGCAACGAAATTAACAATCAAATATGAAATATACGTGACAAGGACATATATACAACTTAGCCATCAATGTATGTGTGTCGTTGCTACACGCATCAATGGCCACCATAATTCATGCAAGATTAATCCGAGTTATGCATCTCCTGGTGTATTTTTTGAAAAAATTACATGCATGTTTGAATGTTTCTTAATATAGATATATGCATTCTCCAGGAGTTTTTTTAATGATTTTTTTGGCTTTTATTTTTGAAAATCTCACTTTGACATCTAACCTAGATTTTAGAATTTTAGTTTTCCTATAAAACCTAGTTTTTCTCTTAAGTTTACTTTTTTTAACAGAAACTTTTAAAACTATTAGACCTAGATTTTTGAGTCAAAAAATAAAATCTAAAACCCCAAAGAGGAAACCAACAAAATTCCTAAAATTTCAACCATTCAAGGCCTTGATTTTAAAGTTTTTGTTTAAAGATATAGATAACGATATCGTAATTTTGTACTTGTAAACTTCACCAATCAATGGTATAAGCTTCAAGTCATCACAAAACAAGTTGAGCTATACCTGAGATCACCTCCGGTGCCAAATACTCATGTGTTCCAACGAACGACTTAGAACGAGCATTGATTGGTTCGGCGAAAATTGATGGACATCCACCGGAGAGGTCTCGATTTCCGGTTGAAACCCGAGAACAAGAAGAAGGCTGCCGAGAGAACGTTCTAGAAACATCGTTGCTTTTAACGGAACCGCCAGTACCAGCTGCGTTCTCGTGTATCGTGGTGGTAATAACGTTCTTTCTTCTTCTTCTGCTCGAAGTAGGAGAGAAGCAAGAAATGACGGGGTGTAACGGAGTCGCCGTGCAGGAAGGTGTGGAGCATTTACGGCGGAAGCTGACGTCGTCGTCATCCTCCTCAAGGACTTGATTTTCACGGTCGCTGTGGTTGAGGAGTTGCGGAACGACGTCACATTTGAAGGAGAGATCGAAATCTGAGAGCATCACATGCCCATCGTCTCTTATTAATACGTTCTCCGGCTTCAAGTCTCTGTACACAATTCCCATCATATGGAGATACTCTAAGGCCACCAGTGTTTCTGCTGCGTAAAACCTGATTTTATATCAAGCATTTTGATAATTAGTTATTAGATATGTCAAGCTATATAAACCTGTTTAAAAGTATATAATTGTATTACTTAAATCAGTATTTCTAGTTAAGCATAAAAAAACTTTTTTTTTTGTTAAATAGGTTTTCTTAATAAGATTAAAATTTGTGGTTCACATTTAAAAACAACGCACTAAATACAAAAGCAAACACTAAAGCAAACAAACAATAGATTCACCAAAAAAAAAAAAGCAAACAAACAATTGAAAACTTTTCTTTAACAAAAAAAAACAATTGAATCACTTTAATCATTGTTTGAAATATACAAATGTTCAATTGCGGTTTGACAATGACAGTTGCACCTAATTCTCATCGACAAGGAGTTTTAGAGTTTGGTTATCTTAGTTGCTCTCGTTAATTAGATTTTATAATTTAACATAAAAAAATATAGAAATGTTGTGTAGGATCAACTATTGTTTAAAAGAAGAGAATGGAACCTAGTAGAGGAGATAGTGAAACGTTTAGACGGCTGACGGAGGCGGGAGGCATAGAGGTCACCGCCGGGACAATACTCCATAAGTAGAAAAGAGTAGTGAGAAGCCTCAAAAGCTGCATACAAAGTAGGACAAAAAGGGTGATCAAGCATCCCCAAAATCTTCTTCTCCATCTCCGCTCTTCCAAGCTTTTTCTTCACCGCCACCGCCTCCTTATCCACAACTTTCATCGCGTAAAGCGCCACCTCTGGGCTTCCACGTATTTGGCAGAGGTACACACTTCCGATATCCCCACTTCCCAATCTCTTTAACAGCCGGAAGTGTTCTAACCCTACCGCACGGCCGCAGCACCGGCGGAGCCTGGCCATAGCTTCCCATGCAACTTGGTTGGATTTGTGAGGCTTTGATTGGTTGTAGCTGTTGAGGCCATGGTTACTTAGATGAGATATGGAGCTACTACAGCTAGGGCTTGCCGTGAAAGAGCTGCTTAGCCAGCTCGTACGGCGGCTCGAGTCAGGACCCGCTGTGGAGCTCTCATAATCAGACTCATTGTCTTTGTAAGACATAGTTGAGTTTGCCATTAAAGACGTTTTCATGGGTTACAAAACTGTCTTGTCTTCACTATTTATCCTCCACTTAAATCTCTTTTTTCTTTTTGTCTTTTGATTTTGTTTATTATTTTTCTTTAATTTTTACAATAATTTTTGTAGTATGAAAAGATTAAAACCATGCGTGAAGATAAATAATATAGATCCAAGTGCGGATACAAACATAAAGGAGATATTGATGAGATGCACATGTCAGGCATGCTCCGCCAAGCTGACACCACCACTATCCTTTGTTTTTCCGAAAGTTAAATGTTTGAAAAATAAAATCCTATGCCAGCTTTACCTTTAGATATTTGAATATTCCGATAATCCGAAGATGGTCAAGTTCGTATCTACAAAAGTAAGATAAATTACAATAACTCTTTATTTCTTTAGCAATTCTCTAAAATACCATAACTTTGAGTCGTATATACCTTTAAATAAACTAATTTTTAATTCTCTAGATATTTCAGCCACCATCACCGATTTTAGCAACATACTTTAACCACCATATATATAGCCTTGTTCCAAAGATCGTCCAGTAGAAACTCTATAAATTAATAATATCGGAACTTTAATATTTTATTAATTTATAGAGTTATTAATATATAGATTTTAACTAAAAAAATACTTTTCAAAAAATAAATTCAGTATTAATAATCTTTTAAATTTTCCCTCAAATTAAATAAGAACTTTCCTTTATACATATATTTTCTTAACTTTTTTAATATTTCTATATTTACTTTATTATTTACATTTTCTCATACTTGTCATATTGTTTTAAATTCCTTTTTCTCTTTTAATTTCCATATTTGTTTGTCAGAGATTCATATTTTAGTAGCTAGATATCTTAGTTGTATATATATATATATATATATATATATATATATTTTAATATATATATATATATATGTTTTTATATGATGATTATTAATTTATGATATTATTGGGACCATATTTTACATAGGAGTTTAAAAAAAGTTATTAACTTATTATCTTATCGAATTGTGTCAATTTTACACCGGCCCAACTCGGGACCGGAGAAATTTATTAATTTATCGTGTTTATTAATTTATCGAGTATTAATTTATAGAGTTTATACTGTATATGGAACACAATGGTGAAACAATTAAAATAACATGTGGAGCCGAACGAAATACTATCATAGATATGATTTGGATGCCATCAATCAATCAAATTAAATTCAATGAAGGATGTTCAAGACTGAAACAATATAGATAGATTGTGATGAGATCTTTGAAATATCACATTTGAACGTTCCAAATGACGAATAAAGTCTAATGCAAAAGCGATCGTTAAAAAACAGGAAGTGTGAATGAGAGCAAAGGTATTTGGCGAAATCGAATGTCACAACGAAATGTGTCAAATAGAAGGTTTCACATTCCCCAAAATGTCACTAGTCTCTTTCAAATGACACATGGACTCAAGTCAATTATTCATCGTATGCGTTGGGTAAAGTACCTTACGTGATACATATATAGGTGATAAGATAGTGCTAACATATTTTCTGTTCAGTTGGATATGACTGTGTCGGTGTATAAAAAAACCCAACCAACGCTAAGACCAGTGCTAAAACAACATCATACAATCTTCCTCCCACAGTAAAGGAGATGGGGCGGCGGAAAAACCTAAAGAAATAGATAAGAGGGAACAATTGTCCCGAATACTTGAAACAAGAAAATGAACAATAAAACCAGAGATAAAGGCGAAGTTTTATTTCAACTTGGCTTTTATATTTTAATAATATAAATTTACTATTTTTTCAATTTATTCTGAAAATGTATTTATTTTCAACATTCAGTTTTTAGTGTACTTAATTTGTATTAATGTATTTTGAAAAGAGCGGCAATATGAATCAAATTAGTTATTATATAAAGATTACACACACATGAGATCAATATTGAACAGGTACGAAAAAATAAAAGAAAACGCGTAGAGATGATTTTAAACTTTAGCAACAACAACAACCAAAAAAATAATACTTTGGCTGGTTTCGGAGCTAGCAGATCAATATTATTGTATTTTTGTTCGTGTCGCCGGATGGACCCAGGTCTTCTCGAACTCTAAAGAGGCTCTGTGGACTTGCAAGAGGCTATTTTTGTCAGGAAGAACTTATATAGTTAACAAAGTGGACTAGTGGTACACCAAATGAAAGAAAGTATTATATGTTAGAAAGGATAATTATCCAAATATTTTAATTTATATTTATGGTGTAAGTTTCGTTCACCGCCTTACATTACCGACTGTAATATTTTTAACATTATTTACTCTCTATAAATAGGAGTCCATTATTGTATTAAGATCATAAGTTGAATACAAATAAGAAATCTTTCACCAATACTCTCTCCTTCAACATACGAAACTTCTCTTCATCTCCTCCTCTCCTCACGTATACCACACACCCTCTCTCTCTTAGTAACTCTCTCTCTCTCCATCTCTCCTTCATAACTTCTCCTTCTTCTTATTTAATTCAGTTTATTTATAATACGTTATCAGCACGATGGTTCTTATATTCTGTCTATTTTCTATTGTTTATATGCTATGCCGGGATGGTAGGCTATGCCTTCTCCGAGCCGATTGTTATGGTAGGCTTTGTCTCCACAATCGAAAAATCATTTCTTAAGCCGGGATGCTAGGTTGTACCTACTCCGAGCAAATGATCATATGGTAGACCATGTCACCTTAGATCATATAAGAGTTGATGGTGAAACCTCCTCTTGGAGTAGAGGCTTTGCCTCTTCCCTGAATATTTACTTTTCTGTAATTTACTTTTTCGCTATTTACTTTTCTGCCATCTAAATTTCTGCTAAATTTATACTGTTATAATGCTCAATTTTTTTATTGTGCAAATTTGAATTTGAATTTATATTTAATGAACTGATCTATGATCTATGCAGATATCATGTCAAATTTGGCTAAGCTCGAAATTTCCGCCCTTGATATTTCTGGAAACAATTATATGACATGGGCAATAGGTGCAAAAATGCATCTAAAAGGAAATGGGCTTCTTGATGCCATTGACAAGTCGAAAGAGACGCCAGATGAGAAAAAGGCGAAAGCCATGATCTTTCTACTTCATCACATCCACGATGGTTTAAAAGATGAATACATCACTAAAGAAGATCCTGCGGATCTTTGGCAATCTTTGAAAGAAAGATTTGACCATCAAAAATATATAGATTTGCCCAAAGCCAAATACCAGTGGCTATATCTCCGGTTTCAGGACTATAAAAGTGTTGTTGAATATAATTCTGCCTTGTTCAGAATAATTTCCAAGATGGTGCTATGTGGAGAAAATGTGAGCGATTATGATATGATTGAAAAAACGCTCTCCACATTTCACCCTGGAAATATAGTCCTGCAACAACAATATCGGGCAAATGGCTATACTCGTTATTCAAAATTGATGGATGTTCTCCTTGTTGCAGAACAGAATAACGAGCTTGTGATGATGAACCATCAGACTCGTCCCACTGGAGCTGCTCCATTCCCAGAAGCGAATGTAGCATCGTCCAGCCAAAATAATGGACGAGGACGTGGACGTGGATACGGTCGAAACCGAGGTCGTGGCCGTGGCCGTGGACGTGGTCGGGGACAAGGAAAAGAGTACCGTCCCGACGAGTCCAACAATGAAAGGAATATAAAAGATCTCGAGCAAATGATTACGGCCGAGATTCTAAAAAGCAAAAAGAAAGTGTTTGCTACAGATGCGGCATGAAAAATCACTGGGAGCGTACTTGTCGTACACCCAGACACTTAGCCGATCTGTACCGGGAATCACAAAAAGCAAAGGAGAAAGAAAGTGAGACTAACTTCATCTCCAATGAACCCGGTCCTTCCTTTCACGGCCTAAACGATGATACTCATCTTGATGTTTCAGATTTTCTGGTTGACTCCGAAGAGATCAACGGAAAAACAGACGACTAAAAGGACATGATATACATAGTTATCTTCCTGAATAAGATAACCTAAAAGTTTGATCTTTTTGTTGTAAAATAGTTTTTAATGTGGTATTTTGTATCTTGTGATATAAGCTTTGTATTGTTTAATACTTATTAATGCATCTTTGTTAAATCCAGAAATGACGAAATTTGAGACTCGTGATGGAGATATGTGTCTTGCAGACAGTGCTACAACGCACACAATACTCAAAGATAAAAGATATTTCTCCGGTCTCAAAATTAAAGATTCCGTTGAAAGCGTGAATACCATTTCTGGTGGTGCAAAAATAATATTGGGCTCTGGAAGAGCCAATTTTTCAATGCCAAGGGGAACAAAGTTTGAAATAAATGATGCATTATATTCCCCGAAGTCTTATAGAAACTTATTGAGTTTCAAAGATATCCGTAAAAATGGATATCACATAGAGACTATAAATAAGAATGGCATTGAAATCCTTTGCATCAAATCGGAGGGACAAATATTGGAAGAGTTGAAAATGATGTCCTCCGGATTATATTGCACAAATATTACTCTGACTGAATCATATGTTACAGTAAACCCGAAGTTTACTAGTACATTCAAAATCTGGCATGAAAGGCTAGGGCATCCAGGTTCAGTCATGATGAGAAAAATTGTGCAAAACTCAAATGGCCATCCGTTGAAATACGGGAAAATTTTAGAAACGGGCGAGTTCATATGTAATGCATGTTCTCAAGGAAAACTCATAACTCGGCCATCACCAGCGAAAGTTGGAATGAATCCCCTGTGTTCTTAGAGAGAATACACGGTGATATATGTGGGCCTATTCACCCACCATGCGGACCGTTTCAATACTTTATGGTATTAATTGACGCATCAAGTAGATGGTCACATGTGTGTCTTTTGACAACACGAAATACGGCTTTCGCAAGATTCATTGCCCAAATAATCAGGTTGAGAGCACAGTTCCCTGATTATACTATTAAGAAAGTGAGATTAGATAACGCTGGTGAATTCACTTCACAGGCCTTTAATGACTATTGCATGTCATTGGGAATCGATGTTGAGCATCCGGTTCCACATGTCCATACACAAAATGGCATGGCTGAGTCTTTGATTAAACGGTTGCAACTGATTGCAAGACCGTTAATAATGAGAACAAAACTCCCAATTTCTATATGGGGTCATGCTATTTTGCATGCTGCAGCGTTGCTCCAAATACGACCAAGTGCTTATAATATATATTCCCCATTGCAATTGGCATCTGGTCAGGAGCCAAACGTATCCCATCTCCGTGTTTTTGGTTGTGCGGTTTATGTTCCGATAGCACCGCCACAAAGAACAAAAATGGGGCCACAAAGGAGATTGGGAATATACGTTGGGTATACGTCACCGAGTATTATTCGGTATCTTGAACCTCAAACTGGTGATATGTTTACGGCACGTTTTGCCGATTGCCATTTTAATGAAGATGAATTTCCAGCGTTAGGGGGAGGAATTAAAGAGGTTCCAAAAGACCTCACATGGTGTACACCGAATTTGTTACACTTTGATCCCCCGACAAAACAACGCGAATTGGAAGTTCAGAAAATTATACATTTACAAAATATGGCAAATCAATTACCAGATTCGTTCACAGATACAAAAAGAGTGACGAAATCATATATACCCGCTGCAAACGTTCCATCAAAGATAGATGTTCTAAGGAACAAAATGATGGAAGCATAGCAAATGCACCCAAAGTCCAATTAAAGAGGGGGAGGCCGATGGGCTCTAAAGATAAAAATCCCCGAAAGAAAAAGAATTTGGGAGAAAAGGTTCAAGAAGAACCTTGTAAAGAAATATGTCCTAGAAGACATAAACAAAATGGTTTTTGAAGAACCAGAGAAAGAGATTCGTCCAGAAGACGAACATGATACAGAAAAATTTGAGATTTCCATCAACTTCGCCCAAAATGGAAAAGTATGGACAAGAAATGAAATAGAAGATGATGATGGAATATTCTCTTTTTCTGTATACAAAGAGATCGATCATGAAAGTGATGATCCAGATCCAGAAACAATATCAGAGTGTCTGAAAAGACCTGATTGGGAGAAATGGAAAATGGCCATCCAAGCTGAATTACTCTCCCTCAATAAAAGAAGTGTTTTTGGACCTATTGTCACAACTCCTGAGAATACAAAACCCGTCGGGCACAAATGGGTTTTTGTAAGAAAAAGAAATGAGAAAAATGAGGTCACAAGATATAAAGCCCGACTTGTGGCTCAAGGTTTTTCTCAAAGACCGGGAATTGATTATGAAGAAACATATTCCCCAGTAATGGATGCCATAACATTCAGATTTTTGATGAGCTTAGCAGCGTCTCAAAATCTTGAAATGTATCTCATGGATGTTGTGACAGCATATCTATATGGATCTCTTGAAAATGAGATATATATGAAAATCCCAGAAGGATTAAAAATGCCTGAGGATTTGAAATCAAAGGCTAAGGAGATCTGTTCGGTCAGATTACAGCGATCACTTTATGGACTAAAACAGTCCGGACGCATGTGGTATAATCGCTTAAGTGAATATTTGTTGAGTAAAGATTACGTCAACAATGCGATATGCCCTTGCGTATTCATTAAGAAATCCTCTCAGGATTTGTGATTATTGCTGTATATGTAGATGACCTGAACATGATTGGAACTCAAAAGGAAATTGATGATGCAAGAACTCATATGAAAGAAGAGTTTGAAATGAAAGATCTTGGAAAGACAAAGTTTTGTCTTGGGCTCCAGATAGAGCATTTCCAAGATGGTATATTTGTGCATCAGTCAAATTACACTAAAAGAGTGTTAAAACGCTTTTATATGGACAAAGCAACTCCTTTGAGTACTCCAATGGTTAATAGATCTCTTGATGTTGAAAAGGATCCATTCCGTCCTTGTGAGGATAACGAGGAAGTGTTAGGTCCTGAAGTACCTTACATGAGCGCTATTGGTGGACTAATGTATCTTGCAAATTGCACTAGACCAGATATAGCATTCGCTACTAATCTGCTTGCAAGATATAGTTCGTCCCCTACGCGCAGACATTGGAATGGAATAAAACATATTTTTCGTTATCTTCAAGGATCAATTGATTTAGGATTATTTTATCCTAAAACTCAAAATGTGTTTTAGTTGGTTTTGCTGATGCAGGATATCTATCAGATCCACACAAAGCTAGATCACAAACAGGTTATGTTTTCACAATTGGTGGAACTGCGGTCTCCTGGCGTTCGCAAAAGCAAACTTTGGTTGCAACGTCTTCAAATTATGCAGAAACTATTGCTCTCCATGAAGCATGTAGAGAGTGTGTATGGCTCCGGTCTATGACTCATCACATACAAGAATCAAGTGGAATATCATAGAGAAAGAGCCAACAAAAATATTTGAAGACAATTCTGCATGTGTCACACAACTCAAAGAAGGTTATATCAAGAGTGACAGAACGAAGCATATTCCTCCAAGATTTTTCTCATACACTCAAGAACTCCAGAAAAATCAAGAAGTGGACATCGAGTATATTCGTTCAAGTGACAATGCAGCCGATCTTTTTACAAAGGCGCTTCCTACTACAGTGTTCAAGAAGCATGTTCACAGTATCGGAATGCGTCGTCTACAAAATTGTGAAAAGAAAAGATTCTATCTTTTCCAGGGGGAGATTATGCTGCGGTACTCTTTTTCCTAAGTCATAGTTTTTATCCCATTGGGTTTTTCTATGACATAGGTTTTTTAACGAGACCGTACATAATACAAAGTCGGATAATTAAGGGGGAGTGTTAGAAAGGATAATTATCCAAATATTTTAATTATACTTATGGTGTAAGTTTTTTCACCGCCTTACATTACCGACTGTAATATTTTTAATTATTTACTCTCTATAAATAGGAGTCATTATTGTATTAAGATCATAAGTTGAATACAAATAAGAAATCTTTCACCAATACTCTCTCCTTCACATACAAAACTTCTCTTCATCTCCTCTCTCCTCACGTACACCACACACCCTCTCCTCTTAGTAACTCTCTCTCTCCATCTCTCCTTCATAACTTCTCCTTCTTCTTATTTAATTCAGTTTATTTATAATATTATATACGTATTTGCGAAATGTTGTATTGTTTTAGGACTCTATAGTTTATTTTTGTAAAGTACATCAAAACTAGGTTATAAGAAACAAAATTCGCCAACAATTCATGTTGTTTTGATTTTTTTCTTCCACTCATAAGTCTAAGTCTCAAGGACGCCTTAAATCATTTCTATTTACGTTAATTTTTAGAGTCAACTTAAGAAGGCGTCATGCATGTCCGAAAATAGTAACACTTGTTGTAAGGTACGTGACTATTACAATTACAATTAAAACGACTGATTCTTCATCAGCTCTTTCTCGTCCATCTAGACTCCACCTAGAGATCAGAAAGAGAATATATCAATCAAAAAGTTCGTATTATACTGAATGTAAATTTTTACCCAAGAAAAAGTGAATTTCTCTTTTTGGGTTAAAAGTAAAAAATAGGGGTTTTTACCGTAATCTCTTGTTGTCTTGCATTTGAAGCATTCTGCCCTGCTTGCATAGTTATGAACCCCACAGCTGACACGTGGACAAACCCAATCGCCAGTTTTCCAGCCGGGAGGACAAGCTCCGGCATCATTCCCGTAAGCAACCATTTGTGCTCCGTAGTACTGATCCGTATACTCGACTTTGATCATTCCACATCGGTAGCAACTTGTCCTGCTCGCGTAATTGTGGCTCCCACAATTCAATGCACCACAATACCAATCACCAGCCAAAACTTCAGTCCTGTTGTATAAGTACGTTGACACATCTACCCCTCCAAACTTGGGGTATCCACATTTCTGGCATGTATCTCTTTTCTTGAAGTTTGCGTGCTGACACGCCCCGCATAGCCAGTCTCCTCCAGTCCAGCTCATCTTTCTCTCTGCGTTTCGCTTAACACCTGAAACGTTAACTAGTAGCTTTTAGTCAAAATATACTCAAAAGTAATAGTTTAGGTGTGCAAAAGACTTATGAAGGAGGGAGATTGGCCAACCTGAAAAGACAAGAAACTGGTAAGCCAAAGGAAGCGAGTGAAATTGGAAGTTTGAGGAACATTGCCTTTTATAAGCATTATAATGAGAATGTATAATTAAATAGATGCTGATTCCACAACTTTTTCTCTACAACATGAGGATATAGTAAAAGAAATAAAACTAAAGATTTTAATTCGTATGAATTAGCCTTGTGATATGATGTGGTCATCAACCAATTCATGGTGGTCCAATGATTAGAAGCCTAATCTTAAAAGTTGACCATTATTTTTGGATGTTTTATTTTACAAGATTTCCCGATTTTCAATAGGCTCCCGAGATTAGTTTAAGATTTAGCATAGTATTCTCCCAATATAGATATTTAAACTCTTGTGGTTCGAAGAATATGGGAAAAAGATCATATAACTTTTTTTTGCTAGGAATGTAAAAGATCATATAACTTGGGATGGTGTGCAATTCAATTTTCGAAGTAAGGTAATATTTTTGTTTGGATCATCTAGTCGTATTGGGTTAGTGATACCATGTTTTTCTCTTGTGATTTAAGGTTTTACCTACGTTCAAACATTACGGTGAAGTGGACATTTGATACCGATTTTAAAAATACAAGTTGAAACTGTGTTTCATGTGAAGGAGAAAAGGTATTGAAGATAATTAGAAAGGAAATAACGAGATCGCCCTTGAAGGCTTAAAGTGATTCTCAATTGCATTATTGTGGGTAAAAGAGAAGATGAAGTGTATTATTCTCTTCTGTTGCCCCCCAATGACCATTTGTTCCAATTCTGCCTTTCATTCGTGTTCCTTCATACGTAGCTCCATACTGGATTTCGATATCTTTTGTATTATCCGTTTCGTTTCCGTTTTCTTTTATACACATATAATCAAAGTTATACCATGGACATTTCACCATTTATATGGGAACCCAAGTGAAAGAGAAAAACATGTGAAACAAAAAAATTCAGCTATCAATCATATTAACACATGTTAGTTTTGAAAATTTTAATTAATATAAATTACAACTAAAACTCTATAAGCCAATAATTTTATAAGAGCGAGCACAACTTATTTGACCTCTTAACATAATTGGGGATCGACCAAAGGAGTGAAGGAACTCTGGCTACTTTTGGTCTTATGTCCAATCATCTGCAAATGTTCGCTGTATTGGACAACGTGGCCATAGTTACCATACGTCAAATATCCGACTAAAATGTAACTTTATCTATTCAGTTGTCTGTGTTTTTATAGGTCGAACCCAATATTTCTAGAGTCGACCCAAATGGTCAAGAGTTACATTGTATATAAAATTTAGTTTTCTTCACAACAAACAGTAACAGGATAAGGAATTCCAGGACAGATCATATGAAAGGCGTTGAAGTCTAGAACTTAGTAATTTTCTCTCCTTTTAAATAGACACCTTACACTGATTTTTTTAACCGTTAATGATTTGTACAAGAACTATATCGTTAACAAGAAAGATAAAGGAAAATTGATAAAATAAAACAAAACATATATCTACCATGTTATCCAGAAAAATAAAACGAAAAAAATAGATGAGACTCCCCCGGGTGTACTCTCTTCTATTGTATTAGGGGCCATATGGGGCAGCCATAACGCGAACAGTATTAAAGTGTTACAAAACTATATATATACTAAAATTCACTTAGAATTTATTCTTTATTATAATGCCTATTTATTCCTCTAACACTTTTATTCTTTTCTTCAATAATTCAAAAGCGATCATATCAAGATTCATTTATGCATGTCTACGTTCATTCTTCCCTTACATGAACCGGTTCAAATTAAGTTTAAAATAACTTTTACCATTTCGGACATGACTTTTTCTTCGTTATCCTAAATTGTCCGATTTGTCGGCTACTTCAACATTCTCAAATCGGAAAGATTAAGCATTAATTAATCCGCCTGGCATTACAATTGACAATTGTCTTCTCTTAATATGCCATAATTGTGATCATCAAACAGTATAATGAGTAATTGGTGATGTTTCAAATTAAAGACATCAAAATATAACAATTTTTTACTTGCGTACTTCTCATTTTTATGGATGTTCGATTTTGTACGCCCTTGGCTGTATTTATAAATTAATAAAAGTTGACATCATATCTTAACATATTTATAAATACACACCTCTTAGCAAATTTTCGTTCATATATTATCTCCGTCTTACAAAGAGACCATTTTTTTGATATAATATTTGATGAAGATTGGCATTGGACTGGAAGTCTGGATTCTAGGACTAGAATTTACACCAAATTTTTTGGTCCACTTGATTTTCAAAACTGACCGGATATCGAATGGAAAAGACATAGTTAAGCTTGCTTTATAAGAACCATGCAAAACAACCAACCAGCAACACACTTGACACTCGTCCCCTGCTTGAGTGCTTTCCAAAGTGCAGGCGACAATTGATTATAGTGGGGAGTTATACATTTTCATATCATGAAACATATGTCTTCTTTCCAAACAAAAACCAAATTCTCGAAGACGCACAATTTTTCGAGGATCGATCCGAGAGTTCGCCAATAATACAAGACTCATTTGGTGATCATCAAAATATCACTTTCGGTACCACATATAAATATAATATGTGGGTGCAAGATCTTGTGTAGTCGATAGTCAAATCAATAAAAAAGAATTCTTTACCTTTTCAAAAGCCAGAGTATTAGATCATAGTAATGTAACCAAGCTAGGTTACTTTTAGGAGGGAATGTTTTAACTAAAGCAGTTTGGGTTGCGGCGAGATGAAGCTGTGTGTGCGCTTCTTTACTAAGTTGTTCTTTGTTCTTTTTATATATGTTTCTTGGAAGAGAAGCAACCTTACATTTTAATATACTAAATTGACAATTTTGAGATGACAAACCAAGTGGAATCCTTAACCCATGAGTATGACCCGCGTACAAAGGATTTGATTCTTGTAAGTTTATATTAATTTTTTTTGGTAAAATGTTAAGATTCTTGTAAGTTTATATTATAGTTTGTGATGCATTTATGTTAATAAATGAGTGAGATATCAATGTTGGAACCATAATAACGAGGGTGGTGAAATGGCTTGGCAGAAGAGAACTCCTATGGGTAGTTATTTTAATAAACATATAACTAATTCGATCGCAACTTTTTATTTAGTTCAAATCTAAGCAAGAACAAAATATATGGAAGGTAAAAATTTAAAGGTTTGGTATTGAAACATTTGGGGTTTCATTTCATATTAAGCTTACACAAAATTAAATGAAACACGAAAGTAAGAAAAGTTTTTAGAGAAAAGGGAAGATTCTAGCGTGTTGACACCGAGGGGATTTGATAAGAAAGAATCAAAATCAATACACAGGATGTGTCACAAATTGCATATATTCCCAGATGGACTAACTATTACATCAATCTTCTTAACTAGTGTATTCCATTGGTCGTTACTTTTTAGTTGTTAGATTTATTTTTGGGTGTTGTTTATTGACAAATGTAAGCATAACTCTTTTTTTATTTTGTATTTAATTTATTTGAATATTCTTTCTCTATGTTACATTACATCGGTTGAATATTCATCTTTACATAGTTTATATAGACGGACACAAAATATTAACATACACCCAAGTTAAAAGATTTGCGAGTAGTTTTTTTTTTTTTTTAATTTTTTTTATCAGTTGAGTATTTGTTATAGCAGAAACTACATCAGTCAAATCTTGTATATAAGATGTAAGTTGTCTTTTACGGTAACAAAGAAACAAATTACTGTTGAGCAGTTCTCAGTAAATAAGATTAATAAAACACATGGAGATGATTTTAGAAAGGCAAAACTCTATATCCTTACATTCAGTTGTTATGTTTCTTGCCCCGTTGCTTTTCTCTCGGTCTTGCGGATATGTAAAGTTATTTTCTTTTTTTTTGTTATAAGTTTTATACCCTTTCAAAAACCGACATAGTTCAGATTTAAAAGACACATTTCTTTTGACTCCATAACTACAAGTTTTTGGAATGTACGGTCGACAGGTATAGATCTCATCAGTCCGAACAAATCTCCTGTCCCGGATGCGGGTGTGTCAAATGGGTGGATGCCACCAACTCCTTGTATAAATAAAGACTGCGACTTCTTTTGTCGCTATAGAGAACTCTTGCCATACGGATGCCATAGAGTTGTATGTTGGAAGGGTCACATCTATTAAGGGTCTAACTTGAATTCAATTTTAGGAATATTCTAAATAAGATGAATTAAGAAAAATGGGATTCCAATAATTGGGATAATGGCAGTTACATAAATAAATGAATGAGATGAAAAATGCAGAGAAATACATGAATGGTAACAATTTAAAGGAAGGGAAAATTGGAATTAAAGGATGTTTTAACTATATGTTTGGTGATCTATACCTTTTTTTTTGTATTTTGGGGGATTAGTCTTTACATGAGCTTAAAATACAAATATACCCCAACTAATTAAAAACTATAAATTTTTATTTAAATATACATTTAATAAACAAAATATATAAAATTTAGGGTTTATTGTATGTGAAAAAGTTTTTACGTTCTTTTTTTTGTTGATCTTTTTGTTGAGGTGTTAATCAAATAAGCTCAGAGCACCCTTTGCCCTAACTCAAGGTATTTTATTCTACTATTTTGAAGATTTTGCATTCATATTCAAACTTGTTTCATGAAACTGTTATTTTTCCCTTAATGATCTCGTGTGCTGACAGTAAGCTTCCAAAGTCACCTCATCAACACTGCTTTACTTTGTTTGCTCTCTTCTTCTTCTTCACTTATTTACCTCTGTTTTTCTCTGGTCTCTGCTTCTACCTGATCATTTACCTCTTCTCTTTAACGCCATGATCTAGATCTCCCGTGTCATATAATGTTCAATGCTTTAGCTTTTACACGCAAACCGATCGGTTTAGGGGTCAGACCGATCGGTGTAAAGACCGCAGAGAAAAAGTTTTATTAGAACGATCGATTCTTCGAGTAAATCGATCGTTTTTGATACGAGAACGAAAATCATAACCGACCCTGAGACAAAATTGTACGAACCGATCGGTTTCGCAAACAAAGCGATCGGTCTACGTTTTTCAAACGAATAGAGAAAAAATAACAGAAAGTGAGTTCAAATAACAAAAGTGAGTTCAAACCACCAAAAATAGCAGGGAATAGAAGAGAAGTGCCAATGCACTAGTCTTGATACAAAAGAATAGCAATGACTTCAAATCAACAAAAAGAAAACCAAGTACTAAGATAACCAAACTCGAACTATGCCACATAAACAACATGTAGTTATATGGGTATATCACATGTAGCTCTGTTATGACCTTCATGACCACAACGGCTGCACTTGTGCCTGCGCTTCTGTCTTTTAGATCCTTGAGATCCTTGTGATGATCTAATCTTGTCTTCAAGTGAATCAAATCTTCTCTTCTTTCTTCTGCTAGATCTCCGCTTTGTCTTGGGTGGAAACACTTTTGCATCTTCAACATCTTTTGGGATACGCCATTCATCTTCAGGAACATATATAGGAAACAGTTGCTTACCAGCTGTGAAAAGGGAAGAGAATTTGAGCAGAAAAAAAGAGATGTTCAGTTCAAAAGAAACGTGATGAGAAGGAGGGAATGAGAAAAGAAGGAGATGACGATGGAGGAAATGGGAAAAGAATGGAGATATTTTGACAGATTTTTTGGAGATTTCGTTTCCTAATATTGATTTTCTTTTATTTTTAGAATCTAGTGACATAGAAGGTGCATTCTAGAGTTTTTAGAACATGTGTAATCTCTAGAATTTGCATTCTTAAAATCAAAGAAGACGCATTCTAAAAGTTTTAGAATATGTACAGACTTTAGAACACGGATTCTGAAAATTTTAGAAGGGAGAATACGCATTCTAAAAAGTTTAGAATATGTACAAATTTTAGAACATGCATTCTAAAACTTTTAGAATATGTTCAAACTTTAGAATTCATATTCTAAAACTTTTAGAACGTAGAATGCGCATTCTAAAATATTTAGAATATGTACAAATTTTAGAATATGCATTCTAGAGTATTTAGAATATGTTGAAACATTAGAATTCATTTTCTAAAAAAATTTAGAACGTAGAATGCGGATTCTAAAAAATTTAGAACGATAAGTAAATATTTTTTTTTTCAATTTTTGTTGTTACACTTAAAATTATAAAAATGTTACTATGGTGTTTTCAGTTTTTTATATATTTTTTCACATTTCACTGAATTTTTAAAAAATGATTTGATTATTATAATAATTTAGATAAGGCTAATTTAGTCAAAAAATGAACAAAATACTAAAAGGTGTAGATTACCAAACATAGATATGAAACATCCTTTAAATCCAATTTTCCCTTAAAATTGAGTGGGATGAAAAATAAATGAGTTGTATGTTTAACTATCTTCATTTAGTTGTTCCATTCATTTTATTCTGAATGAATTTTAACTATGTCCCTTATTGTTTAGTTTCTTTAACTAATTTTATTCAACACCAAAAGTATTTTAACTAAAAAATATATATTAGTTTCTTTAACGAATTTTCTTCTTCTAGAAACCGATTTAAAAACATAACATGGTTACATAATGAATTACTAACTAGGTTAAGCATACATACCTCTTGAACATGATCAGAACTAGCGGATATTGATACTATCTAATATCGTACTGGTATTGTCCCTTAAGGACACTTGACAACACTAACATGAGCTTTTAGAGTTTGCCATATGCTTCTTTTAGTCGCTCTAGTTACCGTAGAAAGTTTATATGGTAACTCTTATTTATTTGGAAAACAAAAAATATATATTAGTTTTTTAAATATTATATTATACTTAAAAAGAGTAGAGTTGTCAAAAAAAATATTTACAAAATTAATTAAGTATAACATACGCAAATTATAAGCAAAATATGTGCTAAACATAAGTAAAACATTTGTTTTCATAAAAATATATATGCAAAAATTTATTACAAAATGTATGCAAACCATAAGTAAAAAATAGGGGAAATTTCAAAACTACACCTCTTGAGGTGCAAATTTTCAAAAATACACCTCTATGGTGCCAATTTTCAAAACTACACTTTTTTCATTTAGTAAAAAAACTCTAAACCCTAAAATCTAACATTGAACCCTTAAATCTAAACCCTAAACCCCAAAATCTAAACCCTAATATAGGATTAGTGAACCCAAACATATATATTAAAATTGGAAAAAGGTGTATTTTTGAAAATTTCCACACTATAGGTGTAGTTTTGAAAATTTGCACATCAAGAGGTGTATTTCATAAAATTTCTCTAAAATATATGCCAAAATTTTAGTATTTTGCAAATGGTCACATTTGTTACTTATTTTTACACCTATATCAATATTAATAAGTATTTTAGTATTTTCATATTGAACTGTAATCATTACAGTATTTGTTGGTGGTCACGTCTGTTTTTAGCGTTTTACTCATATGTAGCCATCCAATATATGCAATCAAGACAGCTAATAATCTTTTTTTTGTTTCATTAAATCTAATCTCACGGTAGTCATAATCGTTGTTTTCTATCCAGCTCGCAGTAATCGGTATCAAAGTGAAAATGACAAATGTTCGAAAGATTTTGTAATCTCTCTACTTCCACAAAACAAGTTCATTCGTACATATAATATTAACCTACTATAGCAAGACGAACAAATTTTACAAGAATCGATGACATTACAACCTCGTCCGATCAACTCTCGTCCGATCAACTTTCCGGGTGTCAAAGTGTTCATGCCACCGAGTCCATGCACGCAGGAGAATTGCGGGTTTGTGTGCCGCTACCAGAACTCCTGCGGCATGGATGCCCAAAGGCAGAAATAGTTTGTTATTGTATACAGTATAGAAGGATCTAGAATGATCCATGATATCATTGAAGATATTTGTAATTATAACTTCATATTCGTATATGACTACATTAGGAAACTAGGTAAATTGTGAATATCATTTCCCACTGTATAAATATGTCTATCATGTAAATCAGTTCTTATGAGAGTTAATATACTTCTTCCTACACACAAATGTGTTCTTCTCTCATCATCATTCTAACATGGTATCAGAGCAGGTTATGCTCAAGAGTTTTGATCTAACAATCAAACTCTCTTTTCTTCATCTTTTCTAAACCATGTGCTTCTTTCATTCAAGTCTATTATAGACCTCTGAATCAAACTCTCTCCTTTTATTTCAATATTTTTATTTTATGTTTAAGCTATATGCTTCCAAATTCAAGTTCATTATGAACCTCTGAATCATTTTCTGAGAATGACTCGCTCTTCTCAACTCAAGCCATGTGCTTCTCAAAACCTTAGAGTTTCTTTAAAAAAAAAAAAAACAAAAAAAAGTTTTTATTCTATTTCAAGCTCTCTATCTCTTTCTACTTCTCTATTATTATTTTCTTTCATCTTCTTATTTTCATCTTCTTTCTATTAAAAAAAAAAACAAAAAAAACAAAAAATCTTCTCCACGGAGAAGCTTTCTCCTTGCTTCAAATTCCAAGCCTTGCTGCAACTCAGCCAGAGAAGGATGCATCACAAAAGATCTTCAATATCATCTCCTTCCTTAGCAGCTCTTCAAGATCTAATTCTCTCTACTCCACCATCCATGTCCATCGCTCCATCTTCCGTCGCATCTACGTCCCCAAATGGTTTTCAAAGCAAGTCTACTTCACCAATCAATCTCAAGGCGCTAATCTCGCACATCTCCATTACCCCCTTGAGCTTGAGGGGGCATATAAAAGAATCTAGAATGATCCATGATATCATTGAAGATATTTGTAATTATAACTTCATATTCGTATATGACTACATTAGGAAACTAGGTTAATTATGAATATCATTTCCCACTGTATAAATATGTCTATCATGTAAATCAGTTCTTATGAGAGTTAATATACTTCTTCCTACACACAAATGTGTTCTTCTCTCATCATTATTCTAACATACAGTAGATGATTAATCAAATGAGTTGGCAATAATCATATTTCGTGTGTTAACATATTTATGACGTAATAAAGTGACGAACTGTGTCTTATTTACTTTTTTTTTATCAGCAAGATTTTAAGATCTGAGAAACCCTAATCAGTGAAAAAAAAGTTGCAATTTTATTTAATCCCAGATTCATCGGATCTAACTGTAACTTCGACCCTAGATTCAGATTATTAAGAAATTGATGAAGAATCATCGCATGTCCTTTTCCATAGTTGCATAGCAAAAGTATATAACTTTCAAAGGTACAGCCACAAAAGTCCAAATATGAAACCAACCATTTCCATATTCCTAGCCAAAAAAAAATGAAGCAAATAAATATCCCAGGACGATGAAGGAAGAGAAGGGCATAATTAGAATTAAATCTACAAGTCCATGTTGGTATTGAAAAACATTGAAAAATATTGGAAGCAAATAAGTTGTAACTGTTAGAAAAATATTGAAAAACTATGATGTGGAGTACTTGTTAATGATTAGTTGGCATAACCTAATTTTCTGCTTAATTATCTTAATTTTTTAATAGTGATATAGCAGAAGCTATGATAAACACAGCTTAACCAATGATTCAATGAAATCAATCGGGACCTACCAAGCTCAACCAAGGGATCTGAAATAATTCTCCGAAAACAATGATATAGAAAGAACATAACGTACGCACCGCGCTGAATACACCATCTGTAATCTACCTATAACTAACCAAAAAAACAAAAAAAACACCATCTGTTTTTAACGTGTTACCCATTTTAACCATCAATTATTGCAATCAAGACAGCTAAATAGCTAATAAAAGTTTTCAGTAATCGGGCATTGAGATTTGAGAATCACAATGTTCAAAAGATTGTGTAATCTCTCTCCTTCCACAAAACAAGTTCATTCATACAAACAATATTAATGTACTATAGCAAGACGAACAAATTATACAAGAATCGATGACAACACTAGCCAACAAAAAAAACAATATTTTTTTACCATTTTGATAAAAGGCTACACGGAAGAAGAAGATAAGTAAGAAGTAACAAGTGACAAGGTAAGAGGCTTCTGCTTCTTGTATTCATTGTATCGCAAAAAGAAGTAACCCAAATAATCGAAATCAATGGGAGACATCCTTGCCTGTTCCATCAAATTTGTACAATGTTACGTTAGCTCAAAAACATAAGTTATGGTTCGGTATTTCAACGTTAAGCAATATACTATATGGTTTTCAAGTGCACCTGTATGATCGCCCATGTTGCCCAGTACAAATGAGATGCTAATTTATACGCATCTGTCTCTACGTAGACTGATTCCACTTCACCCATCGTCACCTGTTCACAAACGCAAACGCATATTCTTTACTCTCCAATAGGAACAACACATACATTGGTCCTGATGGAGTAGCCCAAAACTTCCCTCTTACCTCGTCTGGTTTGTCTGGCTGTAAGTAATGCTTGATGAAATGATACTGTTCTTCTTTACTTGGGTAGCTACAAAGCAACCACAACGAGCAATTATGTTTTATTCTGAATTTGCAGATATAATAGAAGAAATCAAAAGGAAGTTTAAACATACACGCTGTAGTCACAGTCGTATCCTGCATATTCATTAAAGTGATTTCCAATGTCGAAGCCTCTATAGCTGTATGATCCATACTCGAAATCAATCAAGTACAGTTTCTCTGAACATGGATGAAGAAACTCATGTTAGAGACTCATTGTTACTCAACTCTTGAAAGTGGTTTTTGAGATCTTGCATAGCTAAAATGCTATGTTGCGCATATTAAAGCTACCCTATATTTTGTAGCCCTATGTCTTTATATTTCGTGTGAGCAGATGCTTTAAGGTGAGAAATAACTACAGAGATTAGAGAATTTTCTTACCTTCTTCCTCATTCAGCATCAGGTTTCCCGAGAGCAAATCGTTATGAGCAAACACCACCGGTGCGTTAAGTAAGCCAGTGAATTCCTGTTCAATCATTAGAATCAGATAATACTATCAAACCAACGCAGAAGCACAAATAGTTTAGATAACAGAAAGAAGCATTAGCAGATGTTTGAACAAGTTAGTGCACAGGAGAAGAACCAAATCACTAAGCCTCCTACATCAGTTAGAAGTATTTACTATTCATTGTATTCTCTGAGTTTATGTGGTAAGCCAAACTTCGTACACAGGAGAGTGAGAACTTGACAAGCAATGTTTTCAAACACTAGAAGTGGAGTAAGATAAGGCATCAAGAACACATACACAGGGCAGACATACAAAAATCTCTACTAAATTTAAAGGAAGGACATACCCTTAGCTCAATAATTTCTTTGTGCAGCTCTTCAAACGAAATTGTTTCAAAGAGCTTCTGCTTATCAGGTTCCTCAAACTTAAGAGTAGATGCTGCAAGTAAAGAGATGATTTTTACCACTATTGATAGTTTATATAAGATGTGGCCAACACTTGACCAGAGGAAAAAAAGAACTAGAACGATAATCAAAACAAACAAAAGTTAAAAACACCTTTTTCAAAGAACTTCAAAATATCAACCCATAGCTGAGGTTCTTTGGAGCCTGGTATGTCCACTTTATGAAACTTTCCAACCTCTTTAGCAATTTGAGCTGCAATCTTTGGCTGTCTCATATCTGTGTCCAATAAAAAAAGAAATGAGATTCATTTGAAGTGAATGAACTTTCAGGCTATACACTTACCAACAAGAAACAGTCTATATTTCTAGAGACATTATCTACTATTCGGCAAGTGAGAGTCTCAAACGCCTAACCTGATGGTTCTAATGTTCTGGCATTGATGAATGATTGCACCATGCCATTTCCAAATCCACCAAGCAACTTGGCACCGAATCCGGCAGTCGAGAGATACTTGATCGCCTATTGAAGATGTACGAAGCAAATAACCAAAAAAAACACACAATATAAATCCTCAATTGTCGCAAAACGAAATGACAGGAAACACTAGCAGAATAAAAACCTCTCATATTTCAAGAAAAAATCAGAGCAAAAACTCTGTAACGTTTCCACTGTAACGCTCATGATTCAAGTTTGACATCTCTAGATGATAGATAAGAAGATATGAACACATGACTCACTGCACACTAAGGACTTGACATGTATCCAAACAAGTAAATTACCAGTAGCTCTCTCTCCCGGTTGATAACATACTCCGTGTTAGGCCCATACAGTCGAACTGTTACAGACACTTCTCTATCAGATTCTTCCTTCACAGAAACCTTCAGCACTGCCACGAAACATTTCCATTAAACAATTGAAACCAAGACAGAATATGATCCATTGACATGACTACTAGAAATGTGAAAACTCACATAGATTTGTGATGCCTCCAGATACTCTCTCAACAGAGAAAAGGGAATCATCAAGCTCTCGCCAGTTCTTGAACAGATCTTTACATAACTGTCTGTTAAAACACCACACGATTCAAGAAAACGAAACAAGAACAAGAAAACAGAGACGCAACAAGTGGCCTAATCAGATTTTGGTGTTTTCTTTGTTTTTATATGTTATTTTAGTCCTCTCGAGATAAGGAAGCTTTCACTATGTCATCGAAAACCACTTTACAACCACTTTCCTCCATAATATACAATCGAATTCGAAAAGAAATTTTAAAATCTCCACAGAAGAAACGACCAATGAAAAAGGAAAAACATTCAAAATATCGAAAACAGAAGAATCAAATCGAGGAAATTGGAAGAAGGAAACGAACATGATGCGAGGAATCATGACAGGGAGAGGCAAAGAGGTATCGACGACGAAAGAAGAATATGGAATCCGGGAAGCGACGTTGCCGCTAGCTTCATCTTCGGCCTCCAATATTTCCCAGATATTCTTCGTAGCTCCCATTTTTTCTTCTGACTTTTTTGAAAATTTTCTCCTTTTCTCTCTTACAAACAATTAAGATTCTCTTTTTCAGATCTCAATTTTCAGATTCTGTTTTCACCTATTTTTTTTTAATTTAGCGTGTCTTGGCTTCAAACTTAAACAAAAGTTTTTTATTTGATACTGTATTATTAATGTGTCACATTTTAGACAGCCGTACAAGTTTGGAATTGGGATGTGTTGAATCGCTCTCACATTAAATTTGTCCCTCTAATTTTGGATACAAGGCTGCACAATTGGTTTAACCGAGTCTAAATGTTGTTTATTTGGAGGTAAAAGTAGCTTAATGAGGTTCATTTTTAGGTTGTTAGACATGTGATATGTTGAACAGAACAAAATTGTTTTGGATAAGGGTCACTTTCTTGGTCTTTGACAAAAGAATCGAAAGCGGTGTGTGTTTGCTATCGATGTGAAACGATAAGATAAACACAAGATTCCTTTTTAGTAGAGATATTTTGCCTTAGTTTTTAGGGATGTGTGATTACACAAGAATATACATGAAAATGAACAGTATAGTATTAAACGGATCACAAGTGACCATCTATTGTCTTAACGACATGAGAGAAGAATGAGTGACAACTCTAAAAAAAAAAAAAAATAGAGAGAGAGAGAGAGTGAACGACATTAAAGAGACATAGGAGTGACATGAGCAAAATAAAGAGAAATGAACAAATATGAATTTTTATTATTCAGTAGCGGATCCACTATGTATTGTCACTGGTTCATTTGCTTTAGACTTCACCAAAATTGAAAAAAATGAAGAAGGACCAAACAATGCTTGTTTCTGGTCATCTCTCACATGTGACATAAGAAAACAATAAGAAAAGAAACGTTCATAGTATGTCTGTTGCGCACATTCCTATGGATCCTATGCAACACACACATGCGTAAGGCGTCAATAACAAGTACGAAAGATGCATATATTCCTGTAATTATCACTCTCTAGACTCTAATACAAGGTTTGTTTGTGAGGTATATCTAATAATAATTAAAGAAACTATATGCAAATTGGGAAGAGAATGGTCACGACCATATAGAGTGAAGGAGTGACAAACTTATGATATAACCTGTAACCTGTATGAAATCAAAATGTTAACTGCTCATCAGAAAAAATATTTTATTTCCTTAACTTGACAGGATGTGTAGATCAAAAGTGGCATCTAGATTTCAATTATCCATGTAAAGCATTAAGAAATTAAATGTATATTTCTTATTATATAGAGAGGATAAATCAAATAAATGATTGTTCTTTAAAAATGGTAGGGTTCGTCAAAATTTGGACAAGGACGCTCACAACCACAACACCCATATCATATAAGAGATTTTAGGGTTGTTATGAGTTAGTGGAAACCTCTGAAAAAGAGAAGTCAAACTTGAAAAATTAGATGCAAGCGTTTTATTAAACATAAGCATGGGGAAAATAGTGGAAAAGGAAGGATGTGTAACTATCTTCTCTCTCGATTGTTCTTCTTGTCTCTATCACCATATTTCCTTGATCATCTTGTGGTTCTCCTACTATCTATAGAAATGTCTAGTAATTTTCAATAAAGCCGATCCAAAACGATACCGTTATAAAGAAAACTAGATCAAATATTGAAAAATAAAAAAATTGTCATTCGAATATGACCGTGGAAAATAACAAATCTGCCAAAGTGTTGGTGGCTAGATATATGGTAGTGAAAAGGAATTGATTCTTTTGTGCTACCGGTATAAACCTTATTTGGTACGGAGTGCTATTCTTTAAATAGGAATTTTCAAAAGCTGATTTGAGATTTTTGAAAATTACAATTCAGTTTTCAGCCAAAATTTGCTTTGTTATTTGAGTTTTTCTTTTGCTATCAGTTCATAAAAGCCATCCAGCTTTTTTCGATAGAAAACACCTATCGAGCTTGATATATTTTGAGCAAATTATCGCTTTTGTTTTTCTCAATCATCGGAAGTTTGATCTTACCATACTACTTGAACTCTTGCATCCATATGCCCACATAAGACAAGTCCAAACACCAATCCTGTTAAACGAAGACACATCTCCTACATGGAAATGAAGACATTTTTTTGTGTGACATTCACTATATATGTAGAACGCATGTGATCATTTATTCTCTCATGAACATGGAGTTTGAAGGATGAACCAAACTATATCTTGAATGATTTTGAGTTGATACGAAATATTTCAAGTTTCTAAAGTACAGGAAAACGTATTCGTTCCACTTCAGTTTTGAGTTAGTTTAAGTCCCAAAATTTCATGTTTATCTGTAATTTCTAAAGTGATTCTTTGGATATCGTCTATACCGATTACTACTGTTATTTGACAAGCCATTTAAAATCGTTTATGGATAATACCTGCCTCATGGATAAAGTTTATATAAAACTTTCTGATTAATTATTTGTCTGCCATCAACAGAATTGGAGACGAGCTCACACGCGAACCCATATCTCCATGGAAAAATTCATAATTCACATAAATGTGCATATCCAACTAAGTTCACTAATGTATTCATTTCTTCTCGATTTTACAAATTCATTTTTTTCTCCATGATCTTATAATTGAGTGAAAGTGCCCTACAGCTTTCTTTTTATTTTGCATGTGTTCGGTATGCCACTTACTTTCTCTCCATGATCTCTTACACTTTCATGGATCATATTTTATCTGCGTAGTACTGTTTCACTTGTTTTTTTATATCAAAAATATCGTTTCATTACGTTTTTCATGTCATAGAAAATCTTGCTATATATAATATGTCTCCAAACGTACGTGTCCAATAGATAGACAAGCAATCCTTTACATTTCCGTTACTATATTCTGAATTGATTATCCCAAATATTGTCATATATTGAATACTCTAAGAAAATGTTTTTGTTCTATTAGTTATACTTCTGTTGTTAATACAAGTTTTATATTGATAATCTTCTCCTACATAAGTTGTATATAATTATAGGGCTTCATATATAAAAGGCAATCTCATTTCTTTTTACTTGGGTCTCACACACTCACTGATTTTGACTTTCACTACGAAAAAGTCAATCCTAAGACATTTGTGCCGAGTTGGTCCCAGTCTCGCCTCCTTCGTTGTGATTCTCATATGGACACGCTTTCGAATATTTGCATCACAAATGCGGTCGAGATACGTGCATGTGATTGTCATAGTTTTATCGATTAAGATGCAAAACAATATCTAATAATATTTGGGGGCCTCTAATATTTGTATATACGTTACTTTTATTATAGATTTGTATATATAAGTGTCTGAATTTTAAATAGTTAACTAAATGTTAGAGTTCTAATTGTAAACATATTCCATAGTAATGCTGTAGATATATCTAATTGAACATATTCCATATTAATCATGAAAAAGGAAACTTTCTAAGGAAGGCTAACTACAAGACAACAATTATTCATGGATAAATGAACGTAAAGAAATGGATAAACAAGAAAGTTTAAGCCATAAACCAAACATATTGAATATTTGAATCTTAATCTGAATTATAGCTTATTAGCTCTTCACTACACTAATCTGAATCATGCCTTAAACTTTCTTGTCATCCATTTCTTTACGTCCATTTATCCATGAATAATTGTTGTCTTGTAGTTAGCCTTCCTTAGATCATGCCTATGTTCATCAGGGTGGTATCTTTAAATTTGTATTTTTTAAATTTCTCTTTTTAAGAAAGTATGAATATGTATTCTACATTCTCGACTGTTCGCAAAAGTAACCAAAAAATTAATAGCGTGTATTGTACATTCTCGATATGTTAGCAAATACAATTTTCCCTTGTTTCTTGAAAAACAAAGAAACAATAGACCTCTTAAGGCCCTTATATGATGAAATGCTTTTAATATATTTGAAAATCAATCCAATTAATCATTTGAATATGCTTCAAGTGTTTGGAATATAATTAAACCAAAAAAGGATGAAAACAACACCCATTTTATACTATTCAATTGTTAGCAATGGTACATCTCTTTCCAATGAAGATTCACCATCGCAATGTGAACAAGCTCACATATTAATATACTACAACTTTGCAGCTGAATATATTGAATCTAGCTCTACAAATTAGAAAATAACTGAGCTCTTAATTCGAATAGTTTAATCATATAAAAGATGGATGATAGTATATGGAACAAAGGACATAGTTCCACCTATACATATCTATACAAAGCTTTGCCTAAAGCATCACATTGGCGATAATAGAATTGAGCCTCTTGTCCTCAGATGCACCCAACAATGCTAAATAAGTCTGTACAGAATTGATACAACTTCGACTGTTTACATCGACTTTGTCTACACAATGACAAACATCTGTCGAGTCATGAACGTGTACACTTAATGCCTTGACATATAGCCAAGTTAAGCCAACCAAAAACCAAATAGAGTCAAGCAAATAGCTGCATCAATATATTGGAATAATGAATCAGTGGCATGTCTAAAAGATATATATATATATATATATATATATATATAATTGCTTCTGACTTAAATATAATGAATAATTGCTTCTGGCTTAAATATATAGAGGATATATATCCAACAATAAACAAGTGCCAAGTATTCGACGAGCATTGACCATGCATGTACATGAATTTCTTGGTTGCACAAATTGATTTCGGAATGATGTTTATCCAAACCATTAGGGAATACTAACAAAGGTTACAAAGTGAAGAGAATATTCGATCAAATCCTACACATAGGCTGTTCAAATGTAGCCACGACCTACCGTCTTAAAAAACAAGAAAAAGAAAAAGAAAACAAACATAAAATGAAGCGAGGAACGGAGAAGAGGCCCGGCTGCATTTCGCTTCACCATATTTGGTGGGGCATTATCCGCACTCGCCCACTGCTTTGGATCACTAACCCAAAAATATTCAACCAAATTCATCTGCGCCATCAAATAATAAAATTAATTTAAAGTAACCTAAAAATAGAGCATTTAGACTGAATTAGGCTAGCAGAGGTTTCATCCAAGCCACTAAATATAATTTCAGTTACAACCATAAACTTCTTTTAAGGAAAATATTTCAATTTTCAAATTTATAATACAAATTTTATTTTCATCTTTGAAACTTTGGCCTTTCTATTGGATTTTACTTGAAAGAATTCTTTTTGATTTTTTTTTTTTTAAATTTTCCATTTCTTTGAAGTTTAAAAAATAATAATAATAATATCAAAGAAACTTACTTTCTTTTTTTGTGCGGATTTGTTTTTTTTTTTTTTGTGCGGATTTGTTTGTTGGAAGTATTCGTGAGAGGGTTCTGAGTGAAGTGCCTTGTTTCACATAGCACCTTATCATGAAGCTATATTAGAGCATGCTTAACGCAAAGGTGCTTATGTGATGCTTATTATATATTTTATTAATAAAATTGTGCTAAGCATCTCTGTTAAAATTATTTTGTTTTCTCTGCTTTAATGGGGGGAGCTTATTGGGGGGTGCTTAAGAAAAAAAAAATTAAGAAATTATTTTAAAGGCTGTCAAACCAACCAAAAATACTATCTTTTGTGTCTCTCAACTTCAAATTCATGAAAACACTTAGCTTAGAATCTCTGTTGGACAATTATGCAAACATATAGTGTGTACAAGACTTTACTTGAACAAAGACAAGGCCACGTTCATAGGCCAAGCGATTGATAAGCCGTTCTTTCTCCACATGAATTGCAAGTGAATTCCACAAGCAAACGTCTTCTTGGTAGTTTAATATCTATAGCAGCAACTTGTCCCTGGAGAACAAAGCACCAACAATTCAGCGATAAAGACAGAGACACAAACAATCACCATTAAGACCCAATTTCATTGAACTACCTCTGAGAGGTATCCTCAAAAAAGAGCACCATGTATTTCACATAGGTGGATACAAACATAGAAAACTAATCTTGGCTATCTTATCAAATTTCAGAAAAGGAAAAGCAAGACAATCTGTTCCACCACAAAACATGAAACATTCTCACTTCAAATCATAAAACCAGTGAGTTAAAATATACAAGATATCCGCAGTTAGAGGAAATAGCCACTAGACAGACCATCAATACAATAACTATGAACGCTAAACCAATCAATGCAACAAGTGTTCATATCACATTATTATGTCACTATCTTCTCAATCTGCTAAAAGATCATGAAAGCTAATAGAACTCACCATAATCACCTCAATTCCAGCAACATCCATCTTAGTTTTGGTGAAAAATGCTGTAAAATTCACTGCTACTTGTAACAGACAAGACACAAGAGAACAAACCGATTTCAGAGAATCAGAATTGAAGAACGATGGAGAAAGATCAACATCCAAGTTTTCTACATCTGAAGATAAAAGTGTCAATGCACCGAACAATAAGCAGATATTGAAAAAAAGAGATCTTAGTTTTAAATTCAGAAGAGCTTTGTTACCAATCTACATTCAATTCAACAACACCAATACAGAATTACAATCACAACTGTAATTAAAGGCACAAGTACTCATCTCAAATCCATGTTCTAGACTCTCTAAGCAAGCGCAAACATAACCAAACATGCATATTTGAGGTCTTACTTGAAACAATGGCTGGATTGAGTAAAGTCCCATCCTCTCGCAGACTGAACCAATCATGCGGCTTCTTCGCCGATTCTCATCACCATAAGATGATTAGGGATGCCCCATCACCGGAGACGTGAATTCCGACTGATTTCGTATGCAAAATTAATTCAATTTTGGAATCGCCATTGGAGAGGGGAAGCAAAGAAGAGAGAGAAGGGAAAGAGAAAGAAACACGTTTTTATCTCTCAATTACCTCCTTCCAATCATAACCTGCCACGTGTCCATTAGCACCAGCGCTTAAAAAGCTTATGCAAGCGTCGGAGCTTTGTTTTTTTCGTATTTTTTATTTAATTAAATGCTTAATTTGTGTTAAGCGTCGCTTTAAGCGCCCGCGTTAAACATGCTCTTAGCGCTTCTCTTATTCTAGCGCTAGCCGCTAAGCTGTTTGACTCAGATTTCACATATTCCGTACGACTGAATTTGGTCTATAATGAGGAACTTCGTCTGCTTGGAAAAAAAGAGTTTGTCCTCCCAAGTCCCAAGGATTAATCGGTTTCAGGAAGAACCTAATCTGATTCATCTGTCAAAGCAGGGTTGGAACTCTGTTTAAAGTATTTTAGTATATTTCAACCAAACAAAATATTATATTATTTACTTATTTCCGCTATGTCTTTACATTTAATCAGGTTAAAAAAATGTGATATGTTGTACAATTTTTCAATATTTTGTGTTGAAAACTACTAATAAACTAGTAATATAGAAACATTGATTGATCTCACCAAATATTTTATCGGAATAAATGCAAGTGTTGTTTTCATGATCCAAAGTCCCGTGTATGCATAGTGTCACTGGGCCAAAGAAATAAGTTATCATCATAGAAAAACAAATTTACAACGCATGAAAAAAAAGGAAAAACAAAAAAAGAAGTAACAAATTTGCCAAATCTAAAATTTCCAAAAGATATAAGGAAAGAAATGATAGAAAAGTTGGGAGAAAGTGTGATGAACCTATCTCTAGGACTTCACATTTTCGTGATATGTGTCTCAAATCACATATAGTGGAAGGTCGGTGCGAGTTCTCAACCCCTCTCTTTCAATTATTTTGTGGCTATAAAAAGGCAGTCTCCTCTTCCTCATTCTTTACTTCTGTGGCTTACAGATTAAGAGCAGATACTTGGCAGAAACTAAGACTATTCTCATCAAGTCAATACTTGAGGAAATAGAAGAAAAATAAATGGTTTGGATAATATATCTTTTTCCTCTCACTTGTAAACCAATGGTTATAAGATTGGAGAACGTAACTGTGGATTGATGTGGTGGTTTTCAGGAGAGCAAAGGAAGTTGGACGGTGGCTGATGCCGTAGATTACAAAGGTCAACCTGCCGACAAATCCAAAACCGGTGGTTGGATCACTGCAGCTCTCATTCTTGGTTCGTCTTCTTCTTCTCTACTTTTTTTATTTATTGGTAGCGAAGAAGTTTTGTGACTAGGTCCGTAGTTTAGTCTCCGTCGTCTTCTACTCCACTTAACCACCTACACAAATATGCATTTGCATACGACTGGACCGCTGGTCCAAAGTGCTACACATATATCCTTTAGCCATTATCGATAAATCTATTTGAAATTCACTCATATTTGTCTTTATTAGCTATTATTCTTCTTCTTGTTTTCTTTAACAAAAGAAAATATAAATTCTTCTTCTTTTTTTGACTGGATACTTTTTACACATTTTTTACTCAATCTCTTTATTTAGTACTACAGTCAGTCGACATGCATAACTATTACAGTTTTCTATTTTATAATATTTTTAAAAGATGATGAAAAAACATACATACATATGTAAATACATACAAGACGTGTATATGTTACTTAATTAATTTAATCACGAGGGTGGTAGTTCATACGTATAAGTTTTAATTTCCCAAATATGTAAATACATGGTCAGGAACAAAAGAGTTTCAATCTCAAATCGGTCACACTCAAACATGATATGATAGAAATAAGACTCTTTGTATATAAAAATATGAAATGTCATTGTTCTGAATCACGTTGATTGAAGGAGAGAGAAAGGAAAAAGGGACACGCCACATGGCTCCCCATCTCACTCATCCAATCATATACTCCAATAATAATAGTTCTTTGTTTTGAAAAATTAAATCATACTGAAGAGAAAAATTATTAAGATTAGGAAAAGTAAACGAAAATTAGATATGTATTCACGTGTTTTCTTAGGATTCATAAAACGCCGACCTGCCTCTTGTCTTGTTCTTAATTATTCTTACAGATCTTACCAGTTGTCTTAATTACAATCCAAACTTTGGTTTTTGTTGCTTTCTGAGTATAACTCATTTAGCCCAAAAAAATGACTACTCATTTCCAATATTGGTTCCTTACTTTTTGTAAGGACAAATAAATTGAACTTTTACAACCATAACCTTTCGCATGAATAATGAGAAGATTTAAAAAAAAATGAACTCTTGAACTTTTTTTTTTGTCTCAAAGGCTTTCAAATACTCTTGAACTTGATTACGAAATAATCTCAGTTTAAATATATGTTACTAAACTAAATAGATCATAGATGAACTAGTTTATCACTTTACGCCTAGAAGATGCAGGGTTCAAAGTTCAAACATTAGAAGAGAATTACTTATAGCTTGTAATATTTAAATTTTAAATACAGATGATTTTTCAATGTTTCGGAATCAATCATTACTTGCATAGATTTGGATTCTGAATATTTTTTTTTTATTATTAAAAAAAAAAAAGAGAAGGAAACACAACATTAGCTAGTTGAAGATTATTCTTCTGAAGTTACTAGGACTGTCAAGTCATCTCAGAACATACAATTGTTGACAGTATATTAAAAGATGTAACTTTTTCTTTTTGCAGGAATAGAAGTTGTGGAGAGGCTATCAACAATGGGAATAGCAGTGAATTTGGTAACATATTTGATGGAGACAATGCATCTCCCTAGCTCAACCTCTGCTAACATCGTCACTGACTTCATGGGCACTTCCTTCCTTCTCTGCTTGCTCGGTGGCTTTCTCGCTGACTCCTTCCTCGGCCGTTTTAAGACTATCGCTATATTTTCATCCATTCAAGCTTTGGTAAGACTCAACAAAACAAACTTTTATATAAGTTAGTTTTTTAGTTTTATTTTTGAATTTCATGATCAACGGGTTCATCATCTAAGGGCGGATAACTAGTATACTAATAAGGATCCCGATTCCATAATTTTTTTTTTTTTTTGGGTAAAGTGGTAGAGTATATAATCTTTAGAATTAATCTACATTTATATAAAAAAAAAAAAAATCTGAATACAGCCAATAGTAATAGAGACTGAAACCCTACTTGAAAGAGAGAAAAAGGCATTTAGAAAACCAAACATATGTTTTTTTTATATTAATTCTGCAAAAGGACCTCAAAATAGCTTTGATAAACCGTATACACATTCCTACAGGGAACCGGTGCACTAGCGATAGCAACAAAGCTGCCAGAGCTGCGTCCGCCAACATGCCACCATGGGGAAGTCTGCACGCCCGCCACTTCCTTTCAAATGACCATTCTCTATATTTCGCTTTACCTTATAGCCCTTGGTACTGGTGGCCTTAAGTCAAGCATCTCTGGATTTGGATCTGACCAGTTTGATGACAAGGATCCTAAAGAAAAAGCTCACATGGCTTTCTTCTTCAACAGGTTAGGTTGAATCTTTTTACTTTTAGTGCCCTGGTAACATATAGTTATTATATTGTTCATTTTTTTAAATTACATTTGAATTGATACATGCAGGTTCTTCTTCTTCATTAGCATGGGGACATTGATGGCTGTTACTGTTTTAGTTTACATGCAAGATGAAGTAGGAAGATCATGGGCTTATGGAATATGCACTGTGTCAATGGTTATAGCTATTGTGGTGTTCTTGTGTGGGACTAAGAGCTATCGTTACAAGAAGAGCAAAGGAAGTCCTGTCGTGCAAATTTTTCAAGTTATAGCAGCTGCGTTTAGGAAGAGGAAAATGGAGCTGCCTCAAAGCATTGTCTATCTTTATGAAGATAATCCTGAGGGAATAATAATTGAACATACTGATCAGTTTCAGTAAGTTTCTCTATTCAATTTTGAATTTTCTTTTTCACAAAAAGAAAATATTTAATTCAAAGTAACAATTTCTTATAAAAACTCTTGTGTGCAGCATGTTGGACAAGGCAGCCATAGTTGCGGAAGGAGATTTTGAACAAACCCTAGATGGCGTAGCAGTTCCCAACCCTTGGAAGCTAAGCTCAGTGACGAAAGTTGAGGAAGTGAAAATGATGGTTAGGCTATTGCCTATTTGGGCAACCACTATAATTTTCTGGACAACATATGCCCAAATGATTACATTCTCAGTTGAGCAAGCTTCAACCATGAGACGTACCATTGGAAACTTCAAGATCCCAGCAGGTTCTCTCACAGTGTTTTTCGTCGCCGCAATTCTCATAACTCTGGCTGTCTACGACCGTGCCATCATGCCTTTTTGGAAAAAATGGAAAGGAAAACCAGGTGACCTAAAATGCATATATTATTAAGTCGGAGTATTTTTTTGTCGTTTTAGCTAATTTTTCTTTATAATTACATTTATTAACATTTCAGGTTTCTCTAGCCTACAAAGAATAGCTATTGGATTGGTCTTATCAACCGCTGGAATGGCAGCTGCAGCTCTAGTTGAGCAAAAGCGTCTATCCGTTGCTAAAACCAGTACACAGAAAACATTGCCCATAAGTGTATTCTTACTTGTTCCACAATTCTTCCTAGTAGGATCGGGAGAAGCCTTTATATACACTGGCCAACTTGATTTCTTCATCACCCAATCACCTAAAGGGATGAAGACAATGAGCACTGGACTTTTCTTGACCACTTTGTCTCTAGGCTTCTTCGTCAGCAGTTTCTTGGTCTCAGTCGTCAAAAGGGTCACCGCAACTTCTATGGATGGAGGATGGCTGGCCGATAACATAAACCAAGGCCGGCTCGATTACTTTTATTGGCTTTTAGTCATTCTCAGTGGAGTTAACTTTGTTGTCTATGTCATATGTGCCTTGTGGTTCAAGCCAACAAAGGGTAAAGACTCGGCGGAGATGGAAAAGGGCAAGAGCTTTTCAGTTGAAGATTGCTGATTTTGTTTTGAGTTACGTGTCTTGTGTACCATATTACCATGCATGTGTCAAATTAAGTCGGATTCCCATCATGTATATCAAGCAAATGTGTTGTGCGACTTGGGTCTACCGGTCTCAAATATTGTGATGTTGTTCACTTTCTTTTTGGTATATCAACCGGGGGAAAAAATAATAATTTAATTAAGCTCACATATACAATACCTATTTTATGGGAGAATTTCATAAATACCATTTTAATTTTTAAGACTACCATTTTTCAAAACTATTATGATTAGTTGTCATTTTCAAAAATACTACTAAATAATATTGAAATTATCGCATGTTTGATCAAGAGAAGTGTAAAAAAAAAACCCAATAAAAACCCGCTTTACATGAGGCGGAGAAGAAGAAGGTTCCTAGCTAGCAAAAGATTACTCGTTGCTAGCTATTCAGGGCATCTTATGAACCAGGAAAAAAGTTACAAGAACAAGATAGAAATTAAAATATATATTTTAATGTAATTACATTCATGTGGTTGTGCTGTTAATCGTATGTTGATAAATTGTTCAAAGTGTAAAGTAGTTTTTTTGTTGTTGTAGTTAAAAGGCCTGTGTAAACTGTAAAGTTGTTTTCATAAAGAAAGATAGAAAAAGTTGTTGAGTTACGTTGAATCCTATGCCAAATTCATATGAAACGAAAATCATTTTAATAATGTTTTAAAACTGGCGATCCAATATGTACGTGATTCAAATTCTAGCTTAGAATTAGTTTTTTGATATTTCAACTTAGCGACACTCCAAAGTAAAAAATAAAATATGAACAAAGGGTATGATTTTGGTAAATGCTTTAAGTGCTCCACATAGTTTTGTTTATTTATTGTGTGGAGCTTTGTTTTCATTTTTAAAACTCATAGCCACAATTTTAGAAAATGAAATATTTTGGCTCTAGAAAGCAATTATTTCAGAACAGTAAATTAAAGGCTATAAGAATTCACTTTCTCTTCTTTCCTTATCGTTTTGTTATAGATTTTTTAGAGTTTTGTATAACTGAATTGAACCGCTTCACATAATCACATAGCACTGTTTATTTATTGATCAATAATGTATCACCAATCAAGCTTTGATTTCATTTTTAAAACTCAGAACCACAATTTTAGATTCAGAAACATTTTGGCTAGAAATCATTTTTTCAGCAAATTAAGGGCTATGAGAATTTCTTTCTCTTATTTCCTTATTGTTTTGTTATAGATTTTTTTAGAGTTTTGTACAACTGAATTGAGCCCCTTACTAAACCAAATGTTTGGTTTTCACATTTGGTTTTCAGCTTAACATCGGTTAGAAAGTAAGAACCATTCGGTAAGATTTAAAATTTCAGTTGGAAAATAGCAAATGAATTGTTTAGTCTAAACCAATATTTCCCCTTATTTATACTCTTATTTTTGTGCGACTTTGGTGTATCTTGTTTTTTTTTTCCCCTCAAAAGTTTGTGACAATTAGAGTGAGTTAATATCACTTTGATTTTCATGATTAGATCCATCAAACTTCAGTCAAACAATTTTTATTTTTGTCATCTTGTTTTCTTTTCCCCAAATCTTCCTCTAAAAAACCATTTTCAGTTTGTATCGTGTTTATGATATTACTTCATTTCTATAAGATTTATCGCATGGTTCATTTATGAAAGCTCATTGTAAACGAACAGTAGAAGAAATGCTGGTATTGGTCGCCTTGTTCGTATGGACACTATCATGAACTATTTAAGAACTCTCTGTGCGTCTGGAATAAAAGTTGTGGATGGTAAAATGGTGCGGCTTGCTTCGGCAAGCCTTGGTGAAATAGTCAATGGGGTAAAGGGTGTAGAGTTAATCAGCAGTTATATTCCAGAGGACCAAATGTAAGACTTCTTCCTCTATTGAATTTAATATTTGTTATCTCTGTCTCTTTTTTTTCTTATAGCAATGCTCCTTTCCTTTTTCTGTTTGCTCTATCTTTTTTTTTCTTTCTTATATACAGATTCGCCTATTTTTTGGTTCGAGTTGATGAACACATTAAAGATGCCTTGGCAGACGGTATGGGACAATTGACTATCCAGGGAAAAGATTGCGAGGTCAATGTTAGGATGGCAATCATGAAAGACGAGCTTATGGAGTCTGTTGAAGGATTAAATGCTACAAGAGCACTTGAAGAATACAACCAAAGAAACCCTCAAGCCAGTAAAGGGGATCGCATCAAGCCCTTTGTAGGGTTTAAGAAAATGGTTTATCTTTTCTGGTTGCTACAACATCTCTGTCTATTTTCATCGATATTCCATTTTCTCTTGTTAGATATAGTGCTTTTTAACCCTTTTCTGAATCAATTTAGATGGGTTGTTATAAAAGTTCAAGGCTTTTATTAAGAAAAGGGTGTATCATTTTTGGTTGCTACAAATGATACACCCTTTTCTTAAGGGCAAGAGCTTTTCAGTTGAAGATTGCTGACTTTGTTTTGAGTTACGTTTCTTCTGTACCATATATAACCATTCAGTGGCTTCCCATTAGGTTTCTTGTATATCAAGCAATTTGGTTGTATGACTTGGGTCTAGATTTCTACCGGTCATAAATATTGTGTTTTCACTATTATGGTGTTCACTTTTATTTTTTTTTGGTATCCATCGGAGTTGAAATATACAATACTGGCCTATTTTATGGGAGAATTTCTAGCTAGCAAAAGAATCACTGTTCCTAGCTATTCTTATGAACCAGGAAAAAAACTACAAGAACAAGATAAAAGGAAAAAATTAAAACAATGTTTTAATAGAATTAGATTCATGTGTTTGAGCCAGTGATTCTTTTGCTAAAAATGTTATAATCTAACAAGGAGGTGTCAAGTGACACGGCATAATTAGTATAAAGTTATAAATGTACATGGAATAACAAAAATGACTTTAGCAAACATTGTAAAACTAAAACTAGCCTATTAACCAACACTTCAAATATTTTCTACATTGGCCACCGGTTTGAGCTGATGATCGTATGTTGAGAAATTGCTTATTCAAAGGGTAAAGTTGTATTCGATAAAGAAAGATAAAAAAAAAATTGGTCTAGATGAATCATATACCAAATCAAATTCATATGAAACAAAATCATTTCAATAATGTTTTGGAAGATGGTGAACAACATTGATTCCCAATACGGGTTTCAAATTCTAGCTTATAATTAGTTTTGCGATATTTCAACTTAATGACACTCCAAAGTTAAACAACTAATGTATAAAAGTTCATATCAAATTAAAATTTTAATCAAACCAAAATGAAATAGTAACAACACCTACGGCCGAATTGAATTGAACCGAGCTTGCCGAACCGAAATATTTGGTTCTCGGTTTGGAAGTAAGAAGGAACAATTCGGCAAGATTTAATTTTTCAATCGGAAAACAGCAATCGATCGGTTTAGCATAAACCGATATCTCCCTGATATTTTTCATTTTCCTGTGATTTCTTATCCTCGAAAAATCTGTCGGTTTCTGTCCGTAACTGAGAGAGTGAAATCCAGCCTTCTTCGTCGTCGAGAAATCCAAGAATAAGGTTAGTGAAGTGAGATTTCGTAGGTGTTTATGCCTGAATCGGAAAATTTCAAGCTGATTTCGTAGGTTTTTTTTTAGGTTTGTAAAGTTGGGATTTCATAGGGTTTAGGTTTGTAAAGTTGGGATTTCATAGTGTGATGTTTGCTTATTGGTGTTAAAACCTTGATTGCTCTCTCTCTCTCTCATGCTCTTCTCTGATTTGTAAGATGAAAACTCTTCATATGATGTGTGTTTGAGTAGATTACTTGCGCCTGTATGCATCGAGTCTCCCCTGAGTAGATTTCTTGCGTCTATGCACGTGTACTTCGTGGTCTCTATAGTTTGCTTTTTATTTGTTTCAAGTTGTTACATGACTATCTTCTGTTGTGTCGTATGATGCACTATAATCTTACAGGTTTAGTTAGATGTTTGCGTGAAATGATGTTAAAAACACTTTTGTTTTGTTCGTTTGGAATCTGCTGGTTTTTTTAAAAGGGTGAATGTGATGTCTTGAATACGAATAACTGAAGCAAGAAAATGTGTTAGCTTCTTATAGGACAAATTTCAGGATAAGAGTGAAATTGCGATTGTGATATATGCGGTTTACTTTTTTCATCTTATTTTTCTTTTCCCCAGATCTTATTGTGTTTATGATATTGCTTAACTGCTTAGCTCTCAGTTATGCAGAAAGAGAGCTTGGATTCAGATGTCATTCTCAGTATAACTGAGTATCTCTCCAAACATGGCTATGAAAAAATAGCCAATGACCTCAAAGCAGAAGCAAAAATCAAGGCTGGTAATGCAGACAAAGATGATTGTTTTCCTCAGCCGGTCCAACCACTTCTTTCGAATCCGCTACTCACGAAATTCACTGGAACAAAATTTACTCCAGGCCCTTCTGTTCTCGCCAATCCGTTATTTCTGTTGTTACAGAATATGGACTCAAGTACCGAGAAAGATGATGTGTAAGTATCTAGAGAGAATATCTTAATAGTATATCTCCTCTTATTTCCTAACATGATTAAGATGATGTGTAAGTATCTGGAGAGAATATCTTAATAGTATATCTCCTAATATTCTGATTTCCTAACATGATTTGATTTATTTTCTTTTCTCCAGGATAAGTTTCTTCAAAGAAGGCGCCGGTGTTACTGTTAAACCTGAAGCTATAACTCTCGTAGTCAAAGGACCCGAAAAGAATACCTGCTCCTCTGTTGAATTGCCTGGGTTTGAAGGCATAGCAACAAAAGCAGGCCAGGTTAAGTTCGAATCTTGGGAGCTTACAAAGAAGGTAAGTTTATATTTATGCTTATCGTTATGCTGTGTTTATATTAATATTAACAAAATCAGGCTACTTAAATTGATTTGTTCATATATTTTAGGCAATGGGCTTGCATGGCAAGTTTATGAAAGTTCGTGGTGTTGCTATACAACGAAGGAATGATGCTGGTATGGGTCGTCATGTTTATATCAGCTTAGCTGTAAACGATCTGCGAACAGTGTGTGCTTATGGATTCAAGAAAAACGAGCATGGAGCACGTGAGGCCGTGGACAGAGAAACGATTAGAGAGATGGTCAGTGAAGAAGATGGCATTGAGATCATCAGTAGCATTTCTCCAGAGGACGCAATGTAAGTCAGACCTCTTCCTGTATTTAGTTTAATTTTTTTTAATTTGCTTGCTTAACAATGCTCCTTTTATATTTCTTCTACAGGATGGAATACTATCTGCTTCGAATGTCTGAAATCGTTGCATTCAAATTCAGACAAGAAGGAGGAAAGGTGATCGTGCGGGGAAACTGTTCTGTTATTCTCAGTGCGGTAAACATGAAACCGGAGTTACTGGAGGCTAGTGATGGATTCGATGCAACCAGATCACTCCAAGCAAACAACGAAAGCAAGCAACCAAAAAAAAAAGCATCCAAGCGACAAAGAAAAACATAGGCACTCATGTTTAGATATGATTTTCGAACCTAGCAATCGTTTTCTATGTTCACTCTAAGTTTGAATTGCATCTTGTTTTGGTTGAGACTACCATTCATATAATTCATCTACAACCTTTACTAGAGACTACCATTCCTGTTTTGGTTTTTTGGCTGCTACTGCTTTCAAGTTTACTACAGAATGCGATAAAGTAAGAGATTTTGAGATTGTAGGGAAAAGATTCCTCGTAGATTGTCAGACAATACGTAAGAAGCTTACGGTAATTATAAATTGCAGATTTGAGGATGACAAACAGATTTCAGGTCTCTTTGAGGAAGTGTGGGAAGACATTAGACATCACAAGTGGTGAAAGGGTCACACACTCACACTGCAGTTGTTTCTGCAAGAAATTGTGAACCATATTTGCGAGAGCATTACTTCTTCCTCGTGGGCAAGCAAAAAGAAGGCACGTTATTATCTTTCTCGTGCCCGTTTTCTCTCTTCTTTGTACTAATTAATATTTATGCTGTCGTACTCATAGAAGATTTATACTTTCTTTCAGTCTGGGAAGGCAATTTGCAAACTAAGTGAAGTCTTAGGTGAATCATTATCGCCGCACCATAAGAGATTGCTGCAGTGCCTTGTCACTGAAATTCCTGGACGTTTATGGGAGGTGAACCAACTTCTTTCATTCAAATATATTTTTTTTCCTCCTTATAGCTGCGGAAGGATTAAATTCTGGAGAACAAATTTTTGTTGCTCCACTAGAGCTACAGCTCTGCTCTACGTGTCCCTGTGGATGGATAGAGCTGGTGTGTGTATGAATGCATTTTCTTGAACTAGTTTTTCAAATCAATACTTGTGATCGCAGGGAAGGGATGCTCTTCTGGATGCCCTAGGTGCTCTTTCAGTCTCTTGCCACGAGGCAATAACTAAAGAGGATCCAACAACTCCCACTACCATCTTGAGCCTCATCTGTTCTGCATGCAAAAAAAAACTCAAGAAATATCGTGAGTCAGCCTTTTCTTGTCTAGACAAGGTAAGACAAGACCTGAAAGTTGTGGCTTATTATGCAAAAACTAAGAGATGATGGTTCATGACCTTAATCTGCTGATAATCCAGTTCTCACACAGCATTATTCGGTTAGTGGATCTTTGAATATTTTGGATTTTATGTTATCAGGTCATAATAGCTTTTGGCGATCCAGAATTTTTCAATACTGTTTTCCCTATGCTATATGAGATGTGTAAGACTGCCTCTGTCAGAACGAGCTCTCAAGCTCTGTCAGCAAGTGATGCCGTCAAAACAGGTTGTTACACGATGAGTCCTATACTTTGATTGATAACACTTCTGCATCATTTGCTTGAGAGCTGTATTAGCATCATGAACTGTATTAGCATGGTTTCGTCATTATCTCGTTGCTTGAAGTCGAGAAGAGTGAAGAAGCTAAGACGTTATTGAGAAAATCCAGAGATGCGGTCGCAAATCTCCCCTCGTTAAACTAAGCAAGCACAGAGAAGAGATATAGTTTTATGCCTGCCATTATGTGATATGACTTCTTTGTTTACTTTATACAGTTTCTATTGAAAAACATGTTTTCGTCTGAAATGAGGACATGTATGATGTGTGACACAGAGATCATTTTCTTCTGTTCTTTTGAGTCTCCACAGGAAACATAGCTACTGCATCCGCTTTGTGTGGCTCCAAATTTTTAGCTGCCCACTTAAATTCCAGAACATACTTAAAGACGGAAGTGACATTAAAATTACTGATAACATTGTGAGAAAAATATTTGGTTTTGAACAAAATATTCCACATAATTGTGCTAATTCTTTCTATCATAACTTTTGAACTCTCTCACTTATGGACAGGAAAGACAAAGAAGAAAAAGTTTTGGTTTCCAAGAGTAATTTCTACATACAGTTGGTGGTGTACAACCATTTGTAGATGAGTGCAACTTTAGAAACCGACAAGTTTCACAAGTACTTTAGCGGTTCGCCTCTTATTAAAGTCCCCGGCAGGCTTCATCCAGTGGAGATATTGTATACTCTAGAACCTGAGATGGACTATCTTGAGGCTGCTATAAACACTGTCATCCAGATTCATAAATGTGAGCCACCTGGCGATGTTCTTGTTTTCTTGACTGGGGAAGAAGAGATTGAAGAAGCTTGCAAAAGTATCACATGTAAACTTGGAGACCAAGTCACAGTCATGCCATTGTATGCCACTCTTCCGTCTGCCTTGCAACACAAGATATTCGATCCTACAACAGACCCAACGGTGAGAAAGATTGTTGTCTCCACCAACATTGCAGAGACTTCTAACCATCGACGGGATTGTTTACGTGGTTGATCCTGGTTTCTCCAAGCAGAAAATCTACGACCCAATCACTCGTGTTGAGTCCTTGTTGGTGTCTCCAATATCACAGGCAAGTGCTAACCAAAGAGCAGGTCGTGCCGGTAGAACAAGGCCCGGAAAATGCTTCAGGCTTTACACTGAGAAGAGTTTCAATGAGCTTAAGACGCAAACGTATCCTGAGATATTGAGATCAAACCTCGCAAACACTGTTCTTACGTTGAAAAAGCTGCGTGTGGATGACTTGATACGCTTTGATTTTATGGATCCTCCTGCTCCTGACACTCTTGCTCGGGCCTTAGGAGATTTGTTTCATTTGGGAGCACTTGATGATGAAGTTAATTTGACAAAGACAGGCGAGAAGATGAGTGAGTTTCCCTTGGATCCACAGATGACAAAGATGCTCATAGTCAGTCCTGAATATAACTGCTCCAACGAGATTCTTTCGATTTGCGCGATGCTATCAGTACCCAATTGTTTCATCAGGCCAAGTAGGGAAGCTTCAAAAGCAGCAGATGAGGCTAAATCAAGGTTTGCACACGCTGATGGAGATCACCTCACGCTCTTGAATGTGTACCATGCTTTCTTGCAAAACAAGCAAGATCCGAACTGGTGCTACGAAAACTTCATAAACTACAGAGCAATGAAGTCTGCGGTTAGTGTTAGAGAGCAGCTGGTCCGGATCATGTCGAGGTTTGAGATGAAGTTGTGCAGCAATAGTTTCACTAGTCCTAACTACTACGTCAACATAAGAAAGGCCTTGCTTGCGGGTTATTTCATGCAAGTGGCTCACCTAGAAAGCACTAGTGGCCACTACTTGACTCTCAAACATAAGTTGGAGAACAATCAAGTGGTTCACTTGCATCCTTCTAGTTGCTTGGATCACAAGCCTGAGTGGGTTGTTTACAATGAATACGTTTTCACTACCCGGAACTTCATACGAACTGTTACACATATTGAGGGTGAATGGCTTGTTGAAGTAGCACCACATTACCATAATCTTGCGAACTTGACCAACTGTGATGCCAAACGAGTGCTTCAAAAGCCTCATAAGAAGAGAAAGCGTGAGAAGAAAGGAGTTGCATAGATTATTTAATCTTTTTTTTTTGTAAGCAAGTCTATAAGATCGATTGTTCTGTTTCTAACAACAGTAATTGTAAAGTTACAACATTGTTCTCAGAATCTCTGACATTAGGGCAAAAGTTGGTAGCTTGATTATGATGTTTTGTTCTAGAAGAAGAAGTGAACCTTTATTTCGACGCAAGTATAGTAGTGGATCAGGTCTACTGCGTTTTTTAGCGTTATGTTTGCTTTTCAGTTATATTCCGAAACTACTGGAAAGCATAAATATTCGAATCAACAATCGTTAGAAGCTATGCATTTTTAGTCAACAAGATTTCCATTTACCAGTTGCTGATCATCGTATTATTATCATTTGAATGACCTTGCAGAAACTAAATGATTCTAGTAATAAAACTTACATGCTGTATATTCATTCATACATAGCTTTGCTCTATTAACTAAATCATTTTTTTTTTCTGTTTTTGACATATAAAGCATACATACATACATATCTTTGTTCTATTAACTAAATCTCTTTTTTGTTTGTTTTTGACATATAAAGCCTCATGTGGCTATTACCTTCACGACTTATTTAACACCATGATGGATCGATGGTCAATAGAGACCTGACTAAAAGTGTCAAACTCAGGCAATTTAGTAATGAGGAAGATTCAAGAGGCAAAATATCGAAAATAAAAACGAACGATACATACTTAGGACTGGACAAGGAAGACCCATAAAAAGAAGATTCAGATGTAACACATCACACAATCTTAGGGTAGAAGCAGAGCGCAAGAGTTGTTTTTAACGTAATACATACTACGTAATTCCTTGTAAATGGGATCCTGCAACAGCATAAAAAGACAAAAAAAAAAGTTAGATTCAACATTTTGACAGAAACTAATCCATATGTTTACTAATTGGCATTTTGATTCTTCAACTTACATTGACCGACATGACGGTGTGAGTAGTTTTACCGCCATCATGGATCACGAGTGGTACAGTTAACTTTGGACAGTAGGGTTTATAAGGACGGTCACGCAGCTCGAGCAGCTCGAGCAGCTCGTCCGTCTTGTCCGGCTCGTCCGGCTTGTCCGTCTTGTCCGGCTTGTCCGTCTTGTCCGGCTTGTCCGTCTTGTCGGGCTTGTCGGGCTTGTCCGTCTTGTCGGGCTTGTCTTGGCTGCATAAACAAATACAGAGGCTCATCAACACCAATGTCTACAGTATATAAATTCTAACAGATAAAGAAGCAGATTTTTTTGTAACTTGATTTCTAGCCTTACATTTGCTTAATCTTACTGGCAATTACTTTAGCGTCAGACTTGTCCTTGTACTTCCTGTGTGCCAATCTCTGCCTAATCCCAATCCGTGTAACCTTGAAAGCAGGCCCCATACCACTAGTCTCACTTTAACACAAAATCACCAGAAACACCAATATTAGGTCAAAACAAAGACGACGATAAACCAAAGTAGAAGCAATTCATATTATAAGAAGATAAAACTATAATATAAACCTTATAGCTTTCATAAATGAAACTCAAATATCAACACAGGAGTTGTTTTACACTCTAATAGATCTCCATATTAGCTATTATCCCTTTGCTCAAATCAACAAAACTAGCACTTGGCACAATTAAGTATTCTCTATTGCGGTTGCGGCCAAAAAACAAAACATCTTCAGAAACAAACACGCATAATCTCTCTATAGCTCAATGATAATCACAAAAAAAAATAAGAAAAGAAAAAATCGGATCACGAAACAATTTCCAACAAAAATCAAAAGCACGCTCGATCAGGAAGCGTACCGAGGCTTATTGCCAAGCGGCATCGAACTGTCTTGTTCGTTCCTTCTGCTCACTCTTATGGTTTTAGGTTTTTCTTAAAGGGGCTCAGTTTTATGGGTTTGAAATTTTAAGGCTGGTCCACTAAAATGGACATTCTGCTATATTTTTATAAATTAATCCAATTAAAGTTTTTTAAAACAATGGAAAAATATTTCAAGAAAGAATTCCTCGCACACTGGTTGCATTCAAGAAAGTAAGATTTTCATTAGTAGTGGCCAAAACCATTACCATGTAGGAGTTTCGTGTGTTTTTACTAGATCACAAGTATTCAATTGTAGCTGTTATATTTAGTAGAATTTTCAATTTTATTTCTGATCGAGGTTGGTGTTGCCAGCTTCATCTCAATCTCATTAGTCATTATTAATAACTCAAAAGTTGGTACCGAGATAAAGCCGTTCATTGGAATGTTGCTAAGACTTGTGTTTCCTGTTGCCAAGGAGGAGACCAAAGGAATAATTGAAGAGAGTTATCTCCAGTGCTCCTTCTAAAATAAATTCCTATAGGCTTGGCAGGCAAGCTATCTCTTACTCCATTATTTCTTACTTCTGTTTCGAAATCAATAATCTAACATAGCTTGCCTCTGTCACAAGGAGCTCTCAAATTCAGTCAGCAAGTGTGATGCTGTCAAAACAGGTTGTTACACGATACTTGGATTGATAACACTTTTGCATCACTTGCTTGGTCACATTGGATAATATGTTAACACTTATGCTTTTGCCTTTTACCTCATCTAGCTGGGTGATAGTATAACCATAAACTGAAAGTTGATAGAGGAAATGAAACATCCCTGTTTTTTTCTTGGGCAGTAAAAATGTCTGGGAAAGATTTGTTCAAGGTTTCAGAGTCTATATATGGATGGCATTTTGCCTAGAGATGCGACGAGATTCCCTCATGAGGTGTGATTAATCACATCTACATTTTTCACCCCAACCCATGCTTGTATAGTTTTGACTGCGTTTTTTAGCGTTATGTTTGCTTTTCAGTTATATTCCGAAACTACTGGAAAGCATAAATATTTGAATCAACAATCGTTAGAAGCTATGCATTTTTAGTCAACAAGATTTCCATTTACAAGCTGTTGATCATCGTATTATCATTTGAATGACCTTGAAGAAACTAAATGATTCTAGTAATAAAACTTACATGCTGTATAAAGCATACATACATACATAGCTTTGTTCTATTAACTAAATCCCTTTTTTTTGTTTTTGACAAATAAAGCATACATACATACATAGCTTTGTTCTATTAACTAAATCCTTTTTTTTTTGGACATATAAAGCCTCAGGTTCATGTGGCTATTACCTTCACGACTTATTTAAGACCATGATGGATCGATGGTCAATAGAGACCTGACTAAAAGTGTCAAACTCAGGCAATTTAGTAATGAGGAAGATTCAAGAGGCAAAATATCGAAAATAAAAACGAACGATACATACTTAGGACGGGACAAGAAGACTCATAAAAATAAGATTCAGATGTAACACATCACACAATCTTAGAGTAGAAACAGAGCACAAGAGTTGTTTTTAACTTAACACATACTACGTAATTCCTTGTAAATGGGATCCTGCAACAGCATAAAAAGACAAAAAAAAAAGTTAGATTCAACCTTTACAGAAACTAATCCATATGTTTACTAATTGGAATTTTGATTCTTCAACTTACATGGACCGACATGTAGCTGAGAGTTTCAACCCTCCAAGTGTAACAAATTTTTGTGATGGTGGCCTTCTCCTTCTGTGCCATTCATTGACAATCATGACACTGGCTCTGCTCAGGTTTTTGGTGTTTATCACCATTTTAAACTCTACCCAAAGCTTTTGTTTAAAACCGTCTTGAAACGAAAACTTTTCTCTTAAGGCATCAAGTACTTTGTATATGTGTGAGTAGTATTAAATAAAAATGTTCCTAGGAGAAAAATGTTATCTATATGATGATATTTCATCGAAGAAAATGTGTTGTAGTATATGGGACTAGACCAAGGTTTAAGATTTGGCCCAAATTTTTTTCAATACTGAGAACAAATTCACCAAGGTTTAACCTACCTTGCCTCTGTCAGAACGAGCTCTCTGAAGCTCTGTCAGCAAGTGATGCCGTCAAAACAGGTTGTTACACGATAAGTCATACACTTGGATTGATAACACTTTTCCATCACTTGCTTGGTCACATTGGATAATATGTGCTTTTGTGTTTCGGTGATAAACTAATAATATATAAGTTATAACCATAAACTTACAAGCTCTATATAGCTGTGTTCTATACTTCTATTTACTAAATCCTTTTTGTTTTTGGTTTTTGACATATAAAGCCTCGGGTTCGTGTGGCTACTACGCAATGCCTGCTCCCGCAAGGAGAAATATTCAAAAGGCAAAAATATCGAAAAGAAAAGCCAATGACACATAATTAGGACGGGACAAGGAAGACACATAAAAAGAAGATTTAGATGTAACACATTACACAATCTTAGAGTAGAACCAGAGCACAAGAGTTGTTTTTAACTTAAGCATAACTATATAATGCCTTGTAACTGGGATCCTGCAACAGCATAAAAAAAAAAGGTTAAATTCAACCTTTTGACAGAAACTAATCCATATGTTTACTACTTGGCATTTTGATTCTTCAACTTACATGGACCCACATGTAGCTGAGAGTTTCCTCGCCATTCAGGCCAATATTTATTACAGCTACCTTTTCACGTTTGGGGAAATAACCAAAATGAGTCTTCGGGGGATATGGTGTGTAAACCTTGTCCGGCTTCTCTTGGCTGGATAAACAAATACAGATCAACACTAATGTCTACAGTATATAAATTCTAACAGATAGAGAAGCAGATTTTTTTGTAATTTGTGTTATAGCCTTACATTTTCTTAATCTGACGGGCAATTACTTTTGCGCCACACTTCTTGTACTTCTTGTGTGCCATTCGCTGCTTAATCCCAATCCGTACAACCTTGAAAGCAGGCCCCATACCACTAGTCTCACTGTAACACAAAATCACCAGAAACACCAATATTAGGTCAAAACAAAGATGACGAAAATCAAAAGCACGCTCGATCAGGAAGCGTACCGAGGCTTATTGCCAAGCGGCATCGAACTGTCTTGTTCGTTCCTTCTGCTCACTCTTATGGTTTTAGGTTTTTCTTAGGCTGGTCCACTAAAATAAATAAATCCAATTAAAGGTTTTAAAAAGAATGGAAAATTTCCAAAAAAAAATATCTCAACTAAAATTTTGAAAAACTTTTTAATATTCCAACATTATTTTGCCTATAATAACATTTTTTTTTTTAATATTCCAACTCTGAGAACATAAAATGAACACCAAGGAGAAAATGCTGAGAATTGCTTCCGATACATCATACATACGATTATGAAGCCAAGTTGGAATCTATTGATTTGAGCTGTAAGAGATTTGGTGATGGTTACCACTTAATTACCACTGCTCCAATACTATCCGAAGCTATGGTGACACATTCAAAACATGAAAGATCCCTTAAGTTTTGCTATGGGGATTATCTTCGTTCAAGGATTGAAATAGTAATAGACTTCTCAAGTGTGGAATCTAATTCCAACTTTTTTAACAAAAAAAAAAAAAAAATTGCTTTTTTTTCCCGCATTGGCAAACAGCAACCTCCCTTTTAATTGCCGCAAATTAGCGAAAATTGAATAAAATGAGAGACAGTTTCATCAAAAATCTAAACGCTCTCGAGGCGCGTCATTGAGTAAGAGCTCTGGTCTAGGGTTTTTCTTAGGGGTTTTTCTGTTTCTTTCTCATCGATTCCAACCTCCGGAAAATTTCCGACCTGCTCTTCCACCGTCCCTTCTGCTCGAAGACCTAGTTTCTCGTCTTCTACCAATAATGGCGTCGCCGAAGGAGTTAGTGGCGTTAGTACAGTCTTCGCTACTCGGAACATCCCGGCCAACTCCAACGCAGCGAATCGAGCTCACTCATGCCATCCGCAGCTCCTTCTCCTCTTTTCAGAACCTCCTCTCTTTCCCGGTACTCGATTGGGTCCTTCCCGTCGCTTTGAATTTCTGTTTTTCTGGGTTCCATTTCTGAGCTTTGAATTTCTCTGATTTTTTGTATCTATTTCAGCCTCCAAAGCCGTCCGATAGAGCTCAAGTTCAGTCCCGTGAGATTCGTCTTCCCGATTCGTTGCCAGTATCTTTGGATGACCAAGATGTCGCTATTGTAAGTGTTTCTCTGAACTTTAGGAGACGTTTGGTGATTCTCAGTTTTTAGATTCTACTCCTTCTTGACGACGGTTGTTTCGAATTAGATATGAACAATAGACAATAGATTTCTACTCCTTAAGAAATTTTTTTTTTTTGTTTTTCTACTCTCTGTTCACTAATATCTAATGCACCATGTTTTTCTTTTGTTTTTTACTGATTGTAGAGCTTGAAATTGAGTGATGAGCTTCACCTAAACGAGATAGATTCTGTTCGTCTGCTTGTATCTGCAAATCAGGAGGTGCAGCTCCCTTCACTTTGGTTTTACTCTCACCTATTAGCTTCTGAAGTTCTGGAGTTAACTTTCTTATATCATATTCTATGCTTAGTGGGGCTTGATGGGACGAGATCCACTTGAGATTCAACGGCTTGCAACTGGACTATGGTACACAGGGAGAAGGGATCTTACATCAACGCTCTACACACTACTGAGGGTAGCTTACTCTTATTATATTTCTGGCTTTTCTTTCTTCTTCTTGTATTGTTCTTTACATCATCACACATTACCATTTTTTCTTGGTTGAACAGGCAGTTGTTCTGGACCAGGGGCTTGAACCTGACCTTATAGCTGACGTTCAGGGACTCTTAGAAGATCTGATAGGAGCTGGGCTCAGACAACGGCTGATCAATCTTATAAAGGTATTGACCACTTAGGTTCTTTTGGGATACTTCCTCATAGGTTTCCAACTCTGCAATCAGTTTATTACTGGATGAATTTTTTCTAAAGCACCCATGTTCTCTTGTTTGTTGAAAATCCATGAATATTTCTGTTCAGCTACACCATTTCAATCAAGTTTCCATTTGTTTCTCATGGTCTTAGAGTTCATCTTTCTAAACTCTGTCAGTCTAATGATTGTCTCCTCAATCCATTATATTTATAGTTGAATCTGTAAGATTTTGAGAAAATAATTTTAGAAGTTTTTTTGTTTTTTTGTGTGTTTCTTTGGGATTATCATGTTAAGATTGTCATGATGGCAAATTCTTTGTTGTTAGGAACTCAATCGGGAGGAACCTTCTGGCTTGGGTGGGCCCTTATGTGAGCGATACCTTATTGACTCAAGAGGTGCTCTTGTTGAACGAAGAGCAGTTGTTCAAAGGGAAAGACTGATCCTGGGACATTGCCTTGTCCTTTCAATTTTGGTTGAGAGACCTGGTAAGCTTGTTCATTTTTTTGTAGAGCTTTTGTGCGAAGAATGCCACTTTTTAAATAAATTCAGTTGCTGAATATGGTGCTTTTCACTAGCTCTATTGTATACGATAGGATTTATAACTACTGATAAATGGTTTATACATTTGCTAGGATGCTTCATATTGCAGTTTAATTAGGTCGTTTCTCAAAGCTCAATGTATTATGAAATATATTTTGTTTTCATTTATATAATTGTTATGTATGTGTTTGATTGAATTTGAATGTTCTTGCATGTTTGATTGAAGTTGAGTATCGTATGTAATTATAGTGTTTGATATACATTCTCCATCGTTCTGATCTCACTTATATAGAATTGGAACATTGACTCTGTTTTTATGGATCGTAGATGGTTTATTCATAGGATTCAAAAACTCTGTAATTTTATATCATTTGTTTTTTCTCTGAGGACATTTGCTGGTTCATTTTCATGCTTCTAATGGATTTTTTCCTTTGCAGGTCCGAAAGATGTGAAGGATATATACAATGTTTTAAAAGATAATGCAGCTCAATTACCTCAAGGAAATGACACCATGAGCTATCAGGTTCATGCTATTTCTGTTCATGACGTAGAAGCGTTTAGAGATTGCTCCGTTTCCTGCTTACGAAATTTATAATGTTGTTTCTTTATTGCAGATTACTTTTAGTCTTCTGTTTTCTCTCATCATCACGTTCATATCAGATGCAATCAGCGCACTATCTGACAAGTCTTCTATGATATCTCAAGATGCCACGTTTAGGACTGAGTTTCAGGATATTGTAAGTCAAGTTGATACATTTTTCTGTGCTTCTTCTCGCTGTCACCAAACCCCTTCCGCTACTGACACTTACACACATTCCTGGCATGCTTACGTCCTTAATTACCTTTCAGGTCATGGCTTCTGGCAGTGATCTCACTACTGATGGCTTCATTGGTGGCATAAGGCTTGCCTGGGCTGTGCATTTAATGTTGATATATGATGGTATCTCTGGAATGGATCCAGTTTCCACTGCTTCAACAACGGATATGGGGCACATATGCTCCTGCCTCGAGTCCATCTTTTCAAAAAACGTGTTTCAATTTTTGCTGGATAATGTTCTTCGAACTGCTGCCTACCAGGTACTTTCATTTTTAATATCATTGCCAGGAAATCTGTGTGCTCAGTTAATGTCTATGGAATGCTGGGCCCCTATCTGGCTTCCCTGCGTACTTGATATCAGTTGACGAGCTAGTGTGAAACTTACTTTGAATTCTTACAAGTGTATGAACATGTTTGAATTCCTAAGATTATCTTGAAGATGAGTTCTGATATTGTTCTCTACCTTAGTACTTTAGCTGGTGGGTTTTTGTATTGAATGAGCATCTATGCATCGATCATGACTGGATAAGAAAAAGCTATTTCCTAATGTTAATGGTGTATGTATGGATGCTGTCTTTATATGCATCTAGGCTGCTTGATTAGTCACTCTCAAATGTGTGAAGTTCCATTTCTGTTTGCTGGTTTTTCTGCTTCAAGCCACATCGTATATGTATCAATGAATTTTAAGTATCTTTCTAGTTTTTTCTTTTTCTTGTGTGGGTCTATCAATGGTTGACATTTTGTTAGTTGCTACGTGCAGAATGATGAGGAGGACATGATCTACATATATAACGCGTATCTACACAAGTTAACTTCTTGCTTTTTATCTCACCCGATCGCAAGAGACAAGGTTTTCTTTAAGTCCTTTTTACTTCTTGAAGTTAAAGTATATTTATTTAGCATCTGTTTATTGAGATTCTGTTGGCGACCAGAGTTAAAATGTTGCAACTTAGAAATTTGAAAGCTTGGTAGTTTTGTCCTAAAATCATGGTCTTATAATTATGACGAAAGTTGGTGGTGTATGCTTTACATTCAGAGTGAGTAACTATATGATGCATCAATCACACATTCTGAAAATCTCGGATTGGTCAACTTTGTGGATAGGAGTGGCACTGAAACTTCAATTTTTAATGGACGCACAGCATGGTTACTTTCTGATATTTCGAGAGTGCATCTACATGTTAATCTCCTGCGTCAATCCCACTCATCCTTATTTTGCAGGTGAAGGAATCAAAAGACATGGCTATGAGTGTTCTAAATTCGTACCGAACTTGTGATTCACTTGACGGCAGTATGCAGACTGAAGAGGCTGACAGGCCACTGCCATTTATTTCCCTAATGGAGTTTGTTAGCAAAATCTATCAGGTTAAGAATCACTACCTAATCAAGCTTTCAATTCTTTGTCTGTGTTTTGTTATTGTTTCTCGAGACACTGTTTGACAAATGAGTTTGCTTAGTATCTTGCAGTTAAGTTCTGTTCATTTGTTTTTTTGTCCTTGTAGCAAATAACTGAGCATTCAGAATCTGACTGGAAAGTATTTCCTTTTTGATACCAAATTCCTGCTTTTGTCTTTTGATATTTACAACTTCTTACAGAAGGAACCTGAGCTACTCTCTGGGAATGATGTCTTGTGGACATTTGTGAATTTTGCGGGAGAGGACCACACAAATTTTAAAACTCTTGTGGCTTTCTTGGAAATGCTGTGTACCTTGGTATGCAAAGTCTTTCTCTTTGTTTTTTAGTTGGAACTCATTACGAGGTGAGGTTACTCATTCAGTTTCCTGGCTGTCTTCTATACGTAATTTCAGGCTTCCACTCAAGAAGGTGCTTCTAA